TCTAGTGTAACTGTATTACAAAGTATAGAGATATAAAAGCTCAAGTTTAAGCTCAATTATCTTCGAATTTTTGTAAGAATAATGAAAAATAAAAAGCATTTCTAATTCTCGTTAAACAGCTCTTTTATAAAATGATATTATATTAATTAGCTATTTTTCATAAATAAAATAACTTATTACACTTTCAAAATCAGTTTGATGCTAATTTATTGATACGGCTTGGTTTTAATCAAACCCAAATATATTTTTGCAGAAGTACAATCTATGAAAAATTGACAAATGTGATGTTGAGAAATATTTGAGTTGTTATTTCAGATTTTCACACTTCGTAGTATGAAAAAGATTTCAATGTATAATAGATGCGTAGATAGATTAATAATTCGATCAAAAAATGATGGATTTTTTATTTTTGGTTACTGTATTGAGTAATGTGCGTTCGTACCTATAGGTATTGTACGCGAAGAAGGTGCACCGTTAGCATGTAGATGCAGCACAGGTGAAATCTCGCGTGTTTTTGTTTGTCGACCGAGACAAGCGCGCCAGTTACTGTCATTGCACTCTGTGAATTTTCACATCCGGCCCCAAAATTTGCCAGCGGAAGTCAATTTATGGGCGCTGTTTTTTAACTGTCTTATGCACGCTGCAATATATATATTTTTTTCGATGCGATAGTCGGAGAAAAAATGTAAGAAACACACACACGCAGTCGAAGCCGACCTTTGAAATCATTAGCGCATAACACTAAATCTCGCCTCGTATACTACTCATATAGTCTGGGCTTCTGAGAAATAGTCGTATGAACCATAAAAGATCATTGATGCAATAGCAATTTTGCCAAATTATTTTTTTTTTCTCAACCTTTCGCATTATGTATAAAAATATTACATATGCGTTTTTCAGATGTTTCGCTGTGCACCTCGGCTGCTTTCTGGCACGTCAGCGTCGCGGTTTAGTTGGCCCGGCTCTCGCTCTTTTTTACATTGTTTGCGCGTCCCAGACTGGCTGGTGCTTATCTGATATGGGCTGCGCCGAGAGCTTATATTCATGCACACACGGCCACCCGTTTTTAGCAAAAAAAGACGCGCAAGAGAAAAATGAAGATGACGAGTATATGCGCGCGAGCATTTGAATGCTTAATAACTTGTACTCACAGGCACATGTGTCCATGAGCAAACACACATTACACGTAACATTAAGAAAAGGGTTTTTTATGACGGCAATAGAGAAAGCACGAGGAGCGAGAAAAAGGTGTTTGGGTCCGACTCACTCTTTAAATGTCCTCGTGCATCGAAATGTCTCTCGCAGTCGCGCGATGATGATTTTTTTAATGGCAAGTTTTACAAGCGTTTCCTATGCGCGTGCACACCGAATGGGTTCGAACCTGGCATTGTATGCGCTGCTTTTTACACACGTATAACGTAGCACACATCTCACGCTTAATTACCAAAGCAAACGAAATCAAGAGAGTACTCGAAACTTATTAAATTTCATAACTCTCCGCACTTTATTACTATATCATAGCCGCATATATCATGGCCGGACAAATCACATTGTGTCCGCATGTGCGTAATGTAAATAATGTTTATTTTATATAAACTGCAGTGCGCGCCGCTGCAGGGCTTTGAAGTATATTTTACTCGCCTGCTGCGTTACATATGTACGCGTGTGTGCGTATCGTATACGTACAGATGTATACACATGCATTTGTAGGCAACCGAAAGCACTACGTACATAATTCAATTAAATGCAACGCAAAGTACTGTATAACATTTAAATATACACGCAGCGAAGCTCATTGCGAGAGAATAGCCACACACTGTGTGTATATTATATACTATTGCGGCAGCGAGTAGCGCGCGCCCGTACTCGTTCGAGCGCAAAGCTTCGGCTAATTAAAATATCAGCCGATCTTTTGCTACCGCGCTGGGCATTATATGCGCTGTACGCTATCGCACCTAGACAGATCGAGGATAATAAGTACGCGTTGCTACACCTGCCACGCAGTTCGTCTCGCTACATATGGGCAATATCGCGTCAACGCCGAAGAACGAAATCTAAACAAGGTAGGAGCTCGTAAAAATAACATCGAAGATTGAATACTTTTAAAATTTAAGTCCTCTTGGTCCATTCCTCGCGGATCTACGTAGGCTCGGAACTTGATTTTTATTTTATTCTGCTTACATGGGATAACTATGAAATAGTATTTGAATAATAATTTTTCATGTAAAAATTGATGAAGGATTCATATTGGATGTATAAAATCGCTGTCATATTTTTAAAACTTTTAAAAAATTAAAAATATGAACTCGAAAAGGTAAATCGTTTGTCTCTTTCGAATGAACCTACATATTCGAGGATCAAAGTACAACTTTTTACCAAGTAGCATAATGGGAAAACCAATAGACACAATTAGGTGGCACTCGGTGAATGAAGAACACGACAGTTCACGCGATATAACCCATATATAATTGTGTGCTCTCGTGGCCGCGATCACTCTTTGCAATTTGCATAATAATTACGTGCTTTTCCGGACGCCAATCTCGATTCGGCGCGTAAAGTTTTTATACTTGTATTTACCTATACGCGGGTTTCGGAAGAGACACAAAAAAAAAAGAACGAGCAAAAAAGAATAAAAGAGTGGCGATAATAAAAGAACGCAATGCGAGCGAGCGAATGGTGATTGTGTCGAGAAAAGGCGCATTGCGCGAGTCTCGTTTGTGAAATAGCTCCATACGTGTGCGTGTGCGTATATAATACGCATGTGTGTTAATGTCAGTCGCTGTTGCTTCTGGTAGACACGAGACAATTGAAAAATAAAAAAAGCTATGAACGATTCAACTGGAGTTATTACTAAACCTGTAACGCAGTCTCACAGATCATCTCTGCTTGATATAATAAGGCTCGGCGAATGAACGAGATATACGTAGCGCCTGTGCACGTGCGTACATTCGTACACCTATGCACGCGCGCGTGCATATAGACTTTGGTTGATACGAAAATTAATGACCCCTAACTTAATGGATTCAAAGTGCAAATGCGAAAGTCGCATACACGTACACGACTATACGCACCTACATATGTATAGCTGTGGCGGCCGTGTAATTATATCGTGGTTCAACGTGAAATTCAGTGGCACGACTGCACGAGATATGCGTACATATAGGCAGGTATACAGTAGCGCAGTGCCCTATGTGTCGGTAACGCAACGCGCGCGAGGAATATAAAAAAAAAAGAAGGAACAATACGTGAAATTGAATAGAAAATAATTTACTGGAAGCGATAAAGGTATGGCGTATACATAACGTATAAGCGCCGCGCCAAGTGATCGTAAAAAACGACCATACCTCTATACATTTTGTGTACGTATATTCCTATGTACTAGAGCAAGAGAGAAAAAAGATGTAAGTGTGTAACAAAAATTTGTAGAATAATTCAGAAAATGTATATTCGACGCATAAGTTCGTCTCGCTCTCGCTGCATAAGTGTTACTATGCGTTTTTATTCGGTTGTAAGCACGCGCCTCAAGACTTCCGTGTCAATTTTATCGGAAACGATTACACTTGGTCCGGGCGATGCTGGTACTTGAGCATTTTTTAATGTTTTTCGTATCGCTAAAACAAATTTTGAGCTTGCCAGCATGAACTCGTAGTCATTTTTTATTATATATAACAATATTTGATTTCACAAATTGAAATTAGTGGCATCAGATTTTCCAGAATTGTTCATCTACACTCGAAACATTTCCATCGAAACATTCAAAGTTTAATACTTATCTCGAAAAACGCTACTTTTCCGGCTTTTTTCATTGTTCCCAAACAAAGAATGAGATATTTTGCATCGAGTATGGTACTTTTAGAGTGTATTTTTCATGAAAAGCTTGGAAAATGTAGAAGGCTTAATTTAGCGCTTGACCATTCGGCTATGCGTTAAGGATAAGATGAGGAAATTTTCCACTGAACTCATTAAATTAGTAAATTATTGATTTCAGGTAATTTTACGGAGGTTAGAAATTGAGAGATTTGGCCAAATAAGGCCTAGTTTACGCAATATTTTCAAATTGTAAACGTTAACGTCCGAGCACATATAATAAAACTTCAATTTAAAAGAAAATTTTTAAACCTCAGACGTGCATATAATGCAGGAGAATGATTATTGTCCATCTTGCATGTTGTTATCGTATTGACATAAGTGCAAGATTGACAACTGCTTCAGTTTATTTTTATCGCAACTTGCGGGAAATCGATTTTAAAACTTTCCCTCTCGCAGTGATAAAGAACATATATTACAATCATGCATTAACGAAAATTTGGACACTTACGATATTCCATACCGTTGACCTCGAACACACGCGTCCGCACTTTATCCATAAGATACTTTTGTAACTAACCACAAATACATGCCAGGGTTTTTATTTCTGAAAGAAGGTGTTAATTAATACTGCTTGTAAATAATATCTGAATATCTTCAGATTCTTCAGCATAATTTGAGACAAAAACTAATGTTCAAATCAAAGGACTCTCGATTACAAGAATTATTAATCTTGCTGAGGAAAGCTAAGCTTTTCTATTGTACTCGTAAAAATAACACTTTGCTTCATATAAACGTTGTTTCGATCAAGTATACAGTAATTGACCATCGACATGAACACTTATATTGAAAAAAATGGCGATCCGTGAACTTCAGTGTAAAGTGTTCGTCGTGCAGAGCTGCAAGTCTGCAACATTTGAAGCGCCACGGAAAAAAGTCACTAGTTAATAAGATGATACGTATTGAATGTTTATTCGATATTCAACTCAGAGTTCACAAGCTCTCTAATAGATTTTCGTACTATTTATATTAATAATGCATTCAACACTGTAACGGGTCGCTACAAACAACTAATTTCTGATCTACCGTCATCGTGATGTGATTAATTTTTGTTCGTGCTGTATAAGTTCTGCAGTTGTCATAATTGACGCTAGGTGGCTAATATCGTTTTAGCTAACTGATGTGTTAGGTGATCCAGCAAACCGCTAAGCGATTCGCGAAAATATTTCAAGATTTGTTGTCTAATAATAAAAGTTATTATTTATTACGAATGCAGGACGTTATTTGTTTCAAAGAATGTAGCGCGAATAAAGTGATCCATCAATCGTGTACACATCGAAAAAAATTAACCAAACCCAAGATTTGGTTTAATCCATCGGTTTTCTCGGCTTTCAATCTTTCAAAACCGTCAGGCAACAATGAGAAGAACCAAGAGATTGAAAACTAATGAAGATAACCAAAATAATGCTCGTCATGCACGCGATTACATAAATACTTTAAACGATGATTGCTTAATTTTAATATTCGAATTACTTCCTATATGCGACAGAATTTCGATTGAAAGAGGTACGACAACTACATGAAATTATGAGATCTAAATTTACATTATTGATTTTCATTACAGTCTGTAAACGATGGAGAATTTTGGCTAAAGAATCATGGAGATATCAAAAATTCATCGACTTCAATATAGATAGTTGGGGTTCATACAAGTTCATAGATTGTAATGATTTGAAAAAAGTTGCCAAGCGTTGTGGACAATATATTAAACATTTAGAAGTACGTCCTTGGCAACGAATATCAGAAATTAAAAATTTACAATCAGTAGCCAAATTTCTTCCAAACTTGGAAATATTAGATCTGAGAGATTACAACTTATCACCAAAAGTACTCAAGTCTTTGTTGATTAATTGTGAAAATATTACCCAACTCTCTATAAGGAATATTGTTAAAACATTCAAAGACACCGATTTAAGTGATGCACTTAGTAATTGTAAGAAATTACAAGAGTTTCGTTTTAAAAATTCAAATATAAAATTTAGCGTAGAAATATTTGAAGCGTTGCCATGCGATACGATTCAAAAAATTAATTTAAATAAATGTACTAGAATATCATGGAACAAATTGCCTGAGGTAATATTTATGATTTCATTTTAAATTTATAAATTATTTGAAGTAGCAATCATATTTCTTACAGGTATTTAGTAAATATAAAAATCTAAATAGCTTGAGCTTAACAACTTGCATTTGTAATAATGGAATGTCTGGTTGGATTATAAGCTGTTTAGAAAAAATTCCATTGGAACAGTTACATTTAAGTAATAATGATGGTATCACAGATTCTTTTTTAATTGAATTAAGTAACAAATGCGGTAAATTGAAGAATATTTCAATAATGCGTACGTATAACTTTAACATATTCAATATAAAGTAATGACGTTTGTATTAATTTTAATCATTTTAAAAAAATTTGCAGATTCAAACAAAATTACTGATCATGGGATATCAGCTTTGACACAAATGCCTTCTCTTGAATGTGTAACAATGCAGGCATTACCTCTAGTAACTGAAAAAGGTATCTCACATATTTGCCGGCAAAACAAATTTGAATGGTTCTCTATAAGTGGAACAAAAAAAATCATCAAAAAATAAAATTCATAATTACTTATAGGCTAAGTGAATTAATATGAACTATATTAATGTGAGATTGATTTTATATTTTTCTAAAAGTGTTAAAAAGTTTATTAAAATTTTTTTATTTAAATGTAAGTAAATTGAATGTGCTTAATTGGTAGATCATTGTGATTTGTTAGAAAAGTACATGGTAACTTAAAGCCATCTTAATTAAATTATGATAATTAATACTTACTGATTGATAACTGAGTACTGACTGATACTTACAAATGATCATAAATGAATAATTCAAAATTACATATCAAAATTTGCATGTTTCATAAATGTAAATTAAAATTGTATTTCTTTGCTTGACCTGCATAAAATATATATGAGAAATGATGATTTGAATGATGAAAACTAGTTACCAGAATTCATTATTTCATTAATTGGAGAAAGTGATTTCTCAAAATAAATTTGACTCAATTATATAGTATTATTTGTGTACATTTTTGAAGTGCTTGGTTGCAAATGCTTTTTAAGTAACTAACATTTTTCACAAGCGTGCAAAATTTTTTTGAAAAGTTTTGTTTAACGTAATATAACTATATTAATGTTAACATTCAGTCTTGACAGTTGGGGATGGTTCTTGACTTTATAATGGTCTTTCAATTTTTATTATGTGATGCATATTGGAGAATCCCAAAAAGACCTGTAAAAATGCATCACATTTAGCATAATTTTGATCTATTCCACTTCCTTACAGCACAAGAAAAATTCATAAGTCAATGATCTATTGTTAATATTTCAATCATTCCTAGTTATTTACTTATTCAATGATAAAAATTTATAAAAATATTATTTCTTGCATATGTTTGTATGAATATTGAAAAAAACTGAGGGGTTCTAGAGTGTAACGAATATTGTTAAATAGCCATACAAGAGAATTAATAAATATTGTTTCCTCATTCAAGCCTTATTCAAGGAGGAAGGAGGGAAAAATTTTTGATTCACATAATCGGCTAGGTAGCGCAATCTCTAGTCGAAAGTTTTAAAAAGATGCATCGATTTATTGATAAGGGCGATACTTGACCGATATATTGATAAATGATATTGGAAAATACCCAGTTTACCTTAAGTTGATAACTAAATTTATAAGTTTTCAAAAATTCTAGATTGCAGATGTTTTAAAAAATTTTACTCAGACTCAATCTATTTTTTAAAATATTGAATTATGAAAAATTAACGAATTATTTTACCGTCTTTGCGCCAAAAAAGCACAAATATTTTTTCGGTATATACGAACAAACATGCAGGTCTTTTCACAACTCATGGAAGCCGATAGCAGAACACTTTTAAGAATCAGTACTCATAGATGGTGGGAGAACACGTGAATTTGTATCGCATCGCATTGAATCATAATCAGCAAGAACTGATAATAATGAATTGTCTGCTTTATTTTAACTTAATCATTTTCACTACGAATATACAGAATTTTCACAAATCGTAAATGGCAAATTGATTGAAAAATTTTACAAAGATCTATCAGTATCAAACATTGTTTATTTGCACACAACTACTTCTCTAAAATGTTTAACTTGGAACGTTTCATTAAAACAACCATAGTATCCACGAGTTTCATAAAGGAACTTATAAATCAAAACAAAAAAATCAAGGCAAGTTGAAGTCTTGATTGAATAATTTATCTGCAGAAATTGCTAAAATTGTGTTTTACAGAATGTTATTGCACCTATATGTCATAAATATGTCACGAGAAAATGTTCTACATCTTGCAATGACCAAATGAGTCAATGGGAACAAATAAAATCTAATTATTCAAATAAACAGCTGCAACTTGTTTATGAAACATTAGATACATGTAATACAAAACAGATGAAAAGGTATTTCTATTAATTCATGATTCAATCCCACTCAAAATATTTACATTCGATTGTTTTTTTGACAGATGTGGACTTTCGGAAGATCAAATTAAACTTTTGAAATCTAATAAGGAAAAAGACCATCAATCATTAGAAGATTTCATTTTACTAAATACAATTGAAGTAAATGAGTTAGAAAATATCTGTTCAACAATAATATCTAAAAATGAATACAGGCCAAGGAAATCAGCTGTTACGCCTCCCATATCTAAAGATGATATACACGTAATAAATTAAGTTTTAAAATGATTATTTATTTGGAACAATTGTTAATTAATATTAATTTAACATCACAGAAAATTCAAAATGTTGTTGGTCTTCACATTGGTAATAAATACTTCACATTCTGTCAAGTTCATTCAATGGGATCATCTTGTGATATAGCTTTGTGGAAATTAAATAGCATTTCAGAAATTTTTCAAGCAAATTCTAATGTAGATGCAATAAAAATGGTAATTTCAAGAATTATAACAAAGTGTATTAAATATAAAGAAAATTTAAAAAAATTGATATTCACTAATTATATTACTTTACTTTATACAGGCAATGAATATTGCTCAAAGTATTCCATATGCTGATGCATACATCATTGAAAAAGAGCAAACTAGATCTCAATCTAAAATAACCGTTCCTGCACATAGGACCCTAGTGCGACAGCAATTAATATCTTCAACTATTTTAACTTCATTGTTATGTAGGCAAATGAATGATAATTTACAACAAGGTATTAAAAAATTACTTTACATTTAGTTAGTTATTTAGTTATTAAATTTCTATAACATTTTTAGAAACACAAGATCATGGTTCTTTATATTCTTTACGTCCACTGGCATCTTCTCAACTCTTTAAATTAATGTTTGGAAATGAAAGTGTATCATCAAATGACATAGTTCAATCTTTGTTTTCTCAAGAAGATGTTGGGCTAAAATATGTATCATTTGTTACGTTATCAGATGAATTATTGGATTTCCACTCGCGATTAGATAATTTTAAGCAAGAAGATCTAAATAAATCACTACTGATAGCACTGACATTTTTGGAAACAGAAATTTTAGCAAGAAGCCTTTAAATTAACTTCTATTCTTCTGTACTATTCTTTTTACATCTTCATTACAACTAAATGTAAATTGAATATTTTTGTGTATCAAATACATGTGTAATATTGTACTATATTTCTGTAAATAAAGTCACATTAATGTAATTATAAAATTAAATGTCGAAAAACAATTTTTTTTTTAAGGATCTGTTGAATGAAAAGCATTTGAAAATTATTGTACCAGAACATTCAACTAATTTTTTTTAAATTTTACATAAGCGAATAGCGCGATGAAATGAGTAATTATTTGTGAAATTCACCAATGGAAATAGAATGTTGATATTTCATGAGCCAAAATAAGCTATTTCAACTTGATCTATTTCGAGATCTATCGAATATGCGTTTTTATTACATCGACATTTCCTTGAAAAAGGCGATTTTAAACTCGACATATAACGGTATAATATGAATCTTTAAATCTTTAAAAATAGCAGAGTCGTTAATGTACATGGTTATCGATGTTTGCCCACTTCTTCAATTGCCAATTTGAATACGTGAAATTATCGTGAACTAATGATTATGTTAGAAATCGCTCTAGTAATTTTTTCTAATGAGACGCCAAAAAAGCGCTTAAATTATAATCTATTGAACTGGACTAACACAAACGAATTTAGTTAATATTGTAGTTTTATGGAGACATCCACTGCTCCCGATAAACGCAGATAATAATTTTCATCAAATATCGTGATTAGTGTTAGGGAAATAGTGTGTTAATCGCTGGATGCACCAGTGCATACGTATTAGACGTATGTTACAAGAATTATTCTACTTAATCATTATTTGACTGGGCGTATAGCCAACGAACGTGTGACCTTATCGGACACACCAAGATATTTGTCGATTCACATTAGCAATCGTGATTATTTGATCGATCTCTATACATTTGGGACGCAAATCAATTCACCGAAGAAATCGTTGTGCCTTCATTCGATTCATTTTTCATATACATAAGCGTTTAAAATTGTGGAGTTTGAGGGCTTTTATATGATACTTTAATTGTTCTTGAAAATATATCCCTTGCGGCCTGTAATTGTGTGAGTGAATTGTCAATGACGAAATTTGAAATGTCGAAAAACCAGAAAAACAGATTATTCTCTTAAAATCCATGAAATTGCCATCCTAAAATGTATGCCTAGTCGGTAAGACTGATGAGCTACGCAAGAATTTTTGGATTGGAATTAATTCGTCTGATTTCATCGACATTTGGCAATCGGCACGTTGAATTTGCCGCGAGAATCACGCGATTACATAAGTGGACCAATGAAACTTCCTCCTTTTTCGCAATATGCAGTTTTTGCTTTACACATTCACTCTTGATACGAGCATCTGCTTATAGTATAAAATGCAGGTATACCTATGTGCAGAGGTACACGGAACTCGGACTGTCGCAGGGTATGCTTAAAAATGTTTCAGGTTTACTGTACCAATAACCGGCCAAGTGAGACTTGGTGTTTCATTTTATGGTAAACTTTACAAATAAAAAATTGGCAATCTTCATCAAAGCTTCCAGAAGAGGTTTCACAATAAAAAATTAAACATCAAGTTGAAATAAGTTCGATTCATGATTCTGAAAAAAAAACCAACTCGTCTATCACTGGGAAAGCCCTAAAATTTTTTCAATCAAAAAAATCAACTCGTTAATCACTGGGAGAGCCCTAAACTGTTTTTGATCAAAAAACATCTTCTCAGATAAAAAGCAGCGTGCGTATAAAAGTAGCCGAGCATTGGTATACAGTTACCTTGTGCATAGGTAAACGCGCAACTGCTGCAGTTCCGCGCTGCTCTCAGTGTATATTATTCGGCGCGCACGAGCTGCCAGAGCAAAAGTCACGCATCGCGGCGAGACTAATACTTCACTAACCCCGACCTATTCGAATAAATATGCAACTCCAATAGAATTAGTTAAAGTCCCCGAGATTCGGCTCATGGTACAGTTAGTTATAAAAGCTGCTCGCGGCCCCGGCGGGCAAAGATATCGCGCGCGCCGCGGCCAATTGTGCGCTGCAAGTGTTGTACATACGAGGCACATACGCATATATACAGTAGAGTGTGTTCTATATAGACCCGAGAGCGCGCGAGAGAGAGAGAGAGAGAAACAGACCAGGGCGTTTTAGTATTCCTCGCGCGCGGTGCGTCATCGTGCGTCAATAGTCGCCTCGGCCAAACGTCTCGCGTATATTCACAAGAATATATACCTATACATTTATTCGGTGCGTATATTGTGGATAAAACGTGTAGGACTGTTGCTCGTCGTTTCGCCGCACGCAGTGATCGCACAGCAGCACACACACACTCTGCCCACCACCGCCGTTCGCGAGTCGTCGTCGTCGTCGTCGTCTACATACCATCTCTCCGCGCTATTTTATAATCCGCAGAAATTGTGTGAGTGAGAGTGCGTGCGTGCGTGTGCTCCGCACGACTCTGTGTGTATGTGCTGTACACATTAGTGCGACTCTGGCTGCTATGTGCCGCATGCTCCTGCTGCCTCGGTATACTTAGTGCAGTGTCGGCGAGGCATACTCCCTGAGACGGTCTCTCACTCCGTTCTCTCGCTCTCTCTCTCTCTCTCTCTCTCTTTCTTTTCTGCGATATGAAAAACAATTTCGTCCGACTGATTATCTGCGACGACGCGTCGTCTTGAGTCCGCAACGAATCTGCAAATATTGTTGTTATTGAATACGCACCGCTGGAAAGTGAGCCTCGGGGGACGACGACGACGACGACGACGACGACGACGACAACAACGAAAGATTCATCCCCCCTGAGGCGAGTTTTGGCGTATACGTATATATATCACTTGAATAGTCTATACTTTCATCGGTGCGTGCGAATGTATCGCGCGTGGACACGGAAACATCCAAAACTGTCGTCCTAGAACGATTACCTTTGAGGTTGGTATATATGCGTATATATGTTGCTATATATGTACACACAGTCCTTCCGCCTACTTTTACATTTACAGCATGTAAGTGTGTGTTAACTTTATGGTGTCTTAACAGTGCTGTCTGCGTCTCTCTTTCTCATTTTGTAACGTATATTACACGTAGTATCGCTATCAGCGCGCTTCCACATGCATCAGGTTGCTATTTTTCCTCTCTGTCTCTCTCTCTCGCTCGCTCGTTCGATTTCCCGCTCGATGTTTTTCGCTTCGAACTTATCATTGCTGCAATTTTCGCGACTCCGTTCGTATATGCAGCGATGGCATCGTTTAATCGGCGTATTGTAATGTGCCCCTCTCGATTCAATGTCAAACATCTGTGCCTTAATATACCGACTCGTATTATTGTCATATCAATCGCCGCTCGTAACGCACACGTACGGAGCACTGATGCTTGCATCGCTCTGCTTCAGCATTTGTCCATTCGCACATCGACAACGAATTACATGCATTAGTCGTGTTTACGTTAATGATACTTTTTTTCTCCCGCCCATGCCTTCGCGATGCGTGAACTCTAACGTCTCGTGTGTCCAAGATCTGTGTTGGTTTAGAAGTGCGTATATTGATAAATTGGAATTATGTATGGTATGTATGCACGCTTCTCATGCTCATGTTCAAATACGCACCAAGTATGAATGCATTAAATCGGAGTCTTCGACGAGTCGAAACTCACAAGCGGCACATTTGTCTTCGCTATGTACTACGCTGTTGATTATGAATGCATCTATACATACATACTGTCCTGTGTCTCTTCAGCATGTGCGCTCTCGTATCGTATGCAGTATGCGTGCCATTTATACCTTCAACGATGTTTTGTGATTAAAAAGATCGATATATAATATTAGCGTGTGTGCGCTCGAGCTGCGGTGACACATTTGCGTTGTTGCGTAGAAGGAATAATTAAATTTTCTGCAGAACTAAGGGGTGTGGGTCTTGCTGATATGCCTTGCTGTGCACTGACGGGGTGGAAGTAAATGTTATTTCAAAAATTATTTTACAATGTTTCCTGGCTTTTTTGCATTAAGCAAATGCTATATTAAATGAATATGCAAGAGAAATATATTAAAAATAATAAGTTTGTTGGTAATACCCATGGTACTTCACTACTAACCACAGGAGTTAGCTTTTCTATTAAACTTAATGAATCTAATACTGCAACGCGCAGACAATTGCATATTATTTAACTAGTTCTGCTTCTAGTAGTTTCAACTTGACTGTGCAATTTATTTTCATTGTTTCTCTAGTGTACATTCTTGAAATAAACAAGTTGTTTAAAGCCTATTTTGCCTTTATTTATTTTTAATTTTGTTTGCAGCAGTGAAATTACGTGCTATTTTTGTTTTTTGTTTTATTATTTTTGAAAATGTATATTCTAAAAATTTTAGAGCTATTAACACAATGCATGATTAGTAACAAGCTTGAGTAACTTGCACTGTAACAAAGTAAATGTAATATTTTAGTCTCAGTATGAGCAGCTTAATAAATAAGAACTTTATGTTTCTCCTTTAGTTGTAGCATCCATCAATCATATTTCTTTTGTAATATAATTTATTTTGATACAATTCTAAAATGGATTAAACAGTAACAAATATGAATGGAATAAAGAAAATAATTGAATTTATTGCTATATTTCCTAGTTAGAGTAACTATATATTTATAGCTTAATTTTCTAAAACTTTACTTTCTCTATTTGCTAGATTGTAAAAGAGAACTTAGCACTTTATCTTAGAATTTTTTTAGCTAAAACTTACATTTGCTTTTTTACAGTGTTTACAGTGCTTAAATTGGGTGTATGCATCTATGAGCGTGGATTAAAAGATGGTCCTTGTTTTGAGTCTCTTTGATAATGAAGGCTGAAACCTGACATTCAGAAAATTATCAAGCAGAAGTAAAGTGCAAACAAGCATTAACTCTACCAGAGAATTCAAACTGTCAGCTCATAGAAAATCACTTGATTGTACAGTGCTACGGCAATGGATAACTCAAATAAACGTCAAGCAACAAGGGTTTTCAAAAAATCCAGTCCAAATGGCAAAATTAGTGTATATTTAGGTAAACGCGACTTTGTCGACCACATAGGTCATGTTGATCCCATTGACGGTGTGGTGCTCATTGATCCGGATTATGTGAAGGACAGGAAGGTCTTCGGACACGTTCTGGCCGCATTTAAATATGGCAGAGAGGACCTCGACGTCCTTGGGCTCACATTCCGTAAGGACCTTTATCTGGCCGCAAAACAAATTTACCCAGTGCAAGAGGACTCGACACCGCGCGAACTCACTCGACTGCAAGAGCGTCTTATGAAGAAACTCGGCAGTAATGCCTATCCGTTCAATTTTGAACTGCCAGCGCACTGTCCCGCCTCGGTGACGCTACAGCCGGCGCCCGGCGACACAGGCAAGCCCTGCGGAGTCGATTACGAGCTGAAAGCTTTCGTTGGCGAGCGACAAGAGGACAAGCCACACAAAAGAAACAGCGTAAGACTGGCGATTCGCAAGATCGTTTATGCTCCGTCGAAGCAAGGGGAGCAACCCTCGACCGAGCGAAGCAAAGACTTCGTCATGTCTCCTGGTAAGCTACACCTGGAAGCCAGCCTCGACAAAGAACTGTATCATCACGGGGAAAATATAGCCGTGAACGTGCACGTAGCCAATAACAGTAACCGTACTGTCAAACGAATCAAAGTATCCGTCAGGCAGTTCGCCGACATTTGCCTCTTCTCTACGGCCCAGTACAAGTGCACCGTGGCCGAGGCAGAGAGCGAGATCGGCGTGGCACCGGGTTTTACACTGAGCAAGGTATTTTCACTGAGGCCAACTTTAGCCGACAACAAAGATAAGCGAGGCTTGGCGCTCGATGGGCAGCTCAAACACGAGGACACGAATCTGGCATCGAGCACGATCGTCGCCGATCCGTCGCAGCGCGAGAACCTTGGAATTATCGTGAGGTATCGCGTCAAAGTCAAGCTCTGTTTAGGCGCATTAGCCGGTGAGCTCGTGGCCGAACTGCCTTTTGTTCTTATGCATCCCAAGCCCGACGAAGAGGAGGCCGCTATGAGTCAAAACACATCGCGGACCAGTCCGACGCCCAAGCCCGACGAGAGCACGGCGAACGAGGACGCGAATCTTATACAGCTCGAAGAGGAGGCCGACGGCGACGATATTATTTTTGAAGACTTTGCAAGACTCAGGCTCAAAGGCGAGGATCCTTGACCGCTCGAGGATAATCAAGATTTTTCTATTTAGGCTGGTGCAACGACTTGTTGATTAATTTCATTATTCGTCAATTTTATCATTCTACGTCCAACAAAAGATTGATATTCTACAATAAAAGATGTACGACGCGACTGATGAACGCTCTCGATGCTTTGTAAATTATTTTCTAGTGTGAAAGGGACGTTCAACAAGTTCAGTTTTTAAATGTGTTCTTTCGAGCTTGAAAACTGTCTCTAAAATGGCTCAAAGATATTATTTAAGGATCATTATTGATATCTGTATAAAATTCCATTAGGTTTTATCTTTCAAGTAATTAAAGAAAAAACAATGATTTTTATACTCATACATTGTGCAGTAGCTAAATTATTTATTATACATGTATGGCTTTTTTACTACTAATAATTAATTTTTCATTGTCAAAAGACAAGCAGATGAAATCAAGCACAACTTTGCTGATTTTTGACAACATTGTAATTTTTTTTAGAGTTTTTATCGAAACAAAGTTCTAAGCTGATGAAAAAACTATAGTTTTTCAAATTGATACGCGAGTATCACACAAGAATAATTATTGTGTGCCCAAACATCTTCACAAAATTAATGTACTTGACTAAAACAAAAGAACTTGTTTAATGACATTAAAATTCCAATTTATTAAAGCTTAAATGTCCATTTTTATTCCATCCTAATAATTTCCTTTCGATTTTAAATACATTTTTTATTTAATTCTTATGAATTAATGTGTTGTCTTACAAAGACTAAATACTTGGCAAATATCTAGAAAACATTTTTTTTAGAAATAACTTTTTTAATAGCTTTGAAGTGATCAATACTTTGTTACACATTCTGATTTAAAACAATGGTTATCTATTTTCATTTTTATTGAGAAAATTGTATTAATTTTAATAAGGATACACCTTGGACCTTTGATAATCCAGCAATATCCATGGGTTTTGACTGCTGAACTTCTGTCTATATAATTGTTATTTTACCAACTTGTTATTAATCATAATTTATACTTGTCGTAATAAATTATTCGCAGCTTTTATCATAAATGAAACTTGAACATTTCGATCTTCTCGTTTGACAAGTAAAACCATTTAGGAAAAATATGATAACCGCTAATAATTTCAAGAGCTGTAAGGACATGAACGACATCTGTACTCCAATTTCAGTACTACTAAGTGGCGACTGGGCATTGGGCAAGTGGGCACTGTTAGACTGTAGACAGCTGTAAGTTTATACATCGTGATATACCGTACCTAGTCATAACATCAGTACATCCATATTCTCAGTGAAGTCTGTAGCGAGCTAGGCTCAACAGCTTACACTTCTCTTTCACCGTACACAGTACTCGTACAAATAGTGGAGTACATACTTTTGGAACGAATTTACAGTATTGTATTCGAAGTTGACTTCTGAGTTGCTAAATAGTTAAGTTACAAGTATTACCAGTGTTACAAAAATCGAATTTCTGCATTTAGGCTTGTGATCAAGTTTTTCTTCCCGTCAAGGATAATAAGGTACACTAACGATTACTTCTAAATAATTAAAATGGTTTGAATGATGATATATTTAGAATGTTATGACACATGTTTAAAGTGAGGTTATAATTAGTAATCAAACAAAGTCGAAAATAAAATTAATAGAACGTAAATATTATATACATTAAATAATATGTAAGCCATTGGGCAATTAGTTAGAATTAAGTTTTAAGTGAGGTTATAATTTGTAATGGAGTAAAAGAAAGATTAGTGATATTGTCCAAGCACAATGTGCACAATTGTGCAAGTGTTGTAATTCAAACTCTTAGTAAAAACATGTTTTGAGTAGGATTACAATTGTCTCGTAATAATTATGAGATTGATACTTTTTATAAAAATAAGTTAAAACATTTAAGCATTAAATGCAGCAAAAAGATTATTTAAACCTAGGTTTTAATTAAATCAAATAAAAAACGATATTAATATAATATAAGTACATGGCACATTGTGCACAATGGATATGGTGCATATGGCACATGGTAATATTCAATGTTTTTTGCACAGAAAGTTATGAAAATATTTTAGTTTTATTCCATTAAGTAATAGTATTTTAATATTTGATATTTGTTATTTTTTAATTAATAGTTTTTTTATTTTCATTTTTACAGGTATTTTCATCATGTCTGTCACGAGTAAAGCATTGGCTTCTTTGACCGCTACCTATACAGATTCAGAAGGTGAAGAAGAAGAAACTTTTGAGAATAATTCAAATACTCCTAAAGAATCTGCACCACAAAATGAAGATTATCAAATATCCAACAGTTCTAAATCTGACTCATCTAACACAAATAGTCCAAATAATAGCTTTCCTAACAAAAGTAATAATAGTTTTCCATCAAAAGGACAAAGATTAGTATCATATTTTGATGATACTGTTGTTTCAGATGATGATGAAAATCCTTCATCAAATTCTGATGGAGTTTTATTAAATGGAAAACAGCCTAATGAATTAGCTGATCCACAATCTCCTCATATTCAAGAAGAAGTTATTTCTGATAACGAAGCAGATGCTTATGGAGTGGTAATTCCACCTGAGCCTGCTGTGAAATGTCCATCTGAATTACAAGATAAAATTTTAAATCTCTACAAGAGAATGGAATCAGGTCGTTCAGACATGAATAAAATTATTCAACACAGAAAAGATTTCAGGAATCCATCGATATATGAAAAATTGATACAATTTTGTAGTATCAATGAACTTGGTACAAATTTTTCATCAGATAGATTTGATCCTTTCAAATGGGGTAAAGAATCATTTTATGAAGAGCTTACAAAACAACAAAAAATAGAAATGGAAAAATTAGAAAAAGCAAGAAAAGAAAAAACCAAAATTGAAATTGTATCTGGTACAGCAAAAAGACCAAATCCTACTCCTATCACAGTACTAGATGATGAAGCTAAGAAGAGAAAAAGTAAATGGGATCAAGTATCTTCAAATGCAGCTGGAGCAGGACCTGTATCCAAATTGTCCAGTATATCTCAACCTACTCTCTCTTTAACTTCATCCGGTACTAAAACTACAGTTATATCAGCTTTTGGTTCTTTGCCAAAGAAAAGGCTTTAAAAACGTCTTGTACCTAAAATTAGTTTTATAAAATAGTTCAATGTTTTGGAGTAAGTTATTATTAAATATTGATAGACAAGTGTATATTTTAATTTTAAAATCCATTTATTACATAAGAAATACAGCTTTTAAGTTCTTTAAACAACTCTTATAATTTTTTTTTTTTTTTTTGACAAGTTAATCACAGATTTTAAGTCATCATTGTCTTATGCAAAGATCAAAACAAGTTAATTTCATTGATTGTATTATAATAATTGAAAGTTTTAATTAAAAGTGTTACTTCAGCAGTATAAAAATACAACCAATGACAAAAATTGTTTAAAATTAAGTTTTTTTTAAATCTGTATATTTCTTTTATAAGATTATTGTGAGATATTATATCAGATTATAAATATCTGTTCTGTAAATATATTTTGTAAATATTAATTACACTGTTTACTTATTCAATCACACCTACTACTATCTACCTTAATGAATTAAAATTATGCTATTAAAATTACACTATATTTGATATTTCATTCTTTAATTTGAAGACACTGAGATAATCTTAAAAGTTTTTTTCAACCATATAAATTTTACTTATATGAGTATTAAAATATGAATCATGGCGTTATCAATTTAATTTACAAATTCAGTGTATCCTTTTATGAAAGGTAACCCAGCTTTAACTTTTTTTTGATACTCTACATAATCTTGTCCAAAAAATCTTAGTAAATAAACTTCTTCAGCCATAATTCTTTCATTAAAAAATCTCCATGACATGATTGCATAAGCCAATAAACATACTGGGTTTTGCAATATCAGTTGAGTTCCTATTGACCAATAAAACCATCCAGCATAACTGGGGTGCCTGCAAATGGCATAAACTCCGTGTGTGACTAGAGTATGATTTTTTGCTTTTTTATGTTGTACTATATGATTAAAATTGCGCTCAGCCGTGTAAATGGCTAATTTTCTCATCATTTCTCCGCAAAAACATAGTATAAGTCCAATTAACACAATAAGATGGTTTTGTTTCATTTGTACAAAATAATACCTTTCTATAAAAAATTCTAACCAACTCATTATTGCTGCCCCTACATATGCCGGACTATGGTTTATGAAGAAACTTTTGATATTTACAGCTGCTGGATTTGTGAAAGCGATTCCTAAGTATTCTGTCAAATGAAATGTCGATAATATTGAAACATACATTCCAAAATTTTTCCATGATGGCATTGCTGTGTTGTACATCAAGAGTCCAGAACTGAAAGTGTATCCAAGGAAGACAGCACGGTGTGATATTTGTTGATGTGAGACATTGTAAATTCCTCTAATAAACAAATACGATATCCCATAGTTTAATAAGTGTAGCCATTGAGTATTACTGTACTGTAAGCTATTCAAGTATGGAACAATTAAGTATTCACAAAATGCAAAAGTAACTAGTGCAGCAACAAATGATGTTAATGCTATCCGACCACTTTCATACTTCATGGTAGATTGATTATTTATAAATTCACTTTTATAAAATATATATAGTAATTAAAATTATATCAAATACATAAGAACAAAATTGTAAATCTTCATAGGTGATATTCGTATTTGTTGCACATTAAAAATTCGTCTTAGTTCAATAAGAAGTAAAACGATACATAATATGGTCAAGATGCTTTATAACCTTTGTTTACCATCTGAAACATTACGATTGATGAATTAAAATGATGAATTTTCTTATTTATTTTTATCTCTGCAATGAGTATTATTTCTCACCAAATAAGTTTTAATAAAACTTCATAAATTACTGAAGAAAAAATGACAAATTAACGGCCAATGCATCTCCGAACGTTAGTTTTTTATGTTTACAAACACTGAGCACATTTACTGTATATTACTTTTTAGAATACTTTGCAGAATGAGTATGATTTATATATTCATGAACTCGATAAGTTTTCCGCATTCTATACAGTAATTAATTTATAAAAAAACAATAAATAAACTAATATCACGATACATTTGTAATAATCCTCTCAAAGCTGAATATAATAAGGTGTTAGCCGTCAGCCATGTATAAGCAAAACAACCCATATGCAGATATAATATGAGTATAGGTAGCTCAGCTTGTGTATTGTATTGCTGCAACTTGTGAGCTTTTGCAGTTTTGTGACATATCGCGCGAAATCGTATAGATGGTGACTCTATTCTACTGACAATCGATACGCAGTTGATATCGAACCACAGCGACTTTTCAAAATGTTCGATACTTTTGTTTTGTGCTATATAAATTAATGAAACAATCTTGTAGTCCAAAAAATGTTAATATAATTTTTTTAAACACCAATGTTTTAGTATACGCGGCTAAATACCATTTTATACAACTTAAAATATTTTACGATGGCACATCTTATTTGTATCGATATTTCCTATATCGATATTCCAATATCGTAAAACATTATACAGAATGACTATATATTCGTCTGTCAGGCTAAACTGAGTATTTGCAGTCATATAACATGTTATATTTTTGTGCCCACAGCATGCTAACATCTTTAGACACCAAATCCAATATTCTGACAATCATTTAAATTTCAGTTAACGACACTATGGTCATAAAATTAGCGGGTTTACTATTAAATTAAACTTGAAAACTATTTTGAAATTATTTATTTAGACTTCTTGAATAAAATTTAATTTATTCATTATTCAGGTTAATGTTGTAACCTATTTAAATGTCAATACAAAATGAAACTTCATTGTAAAATGTTTGCTTATCGTTTAAAATATGTGAACAATCTTGTACTATTTCGTGCCTTGAGTACTGAAAAAAAATCAGTCAAAAGTTCAAAAGTTATTAGACAAGAATTTTTAAATTATTTTATTAAACAAAATAATCATGCCTTTGTTCGGTCAAGCCCAGTAATGCCTCTGAATGATCCAACAATTCCTTTTGTAAATGCAGGCATGAATCAGGTAAAAGAATTGTTTTTTTAACAATTAAATCATTTTTTTTATAAGTAATTCAAAAAATTAACAAAACTTTACAGTTCAAAGGTGTTTTGTTGGGTCATCATGATGCACCTGCATTTAGAGTGGCTAATTCTCAAAAATGTATAAGAGTTGGTGGCAAACATAATGATTATGAAACTGTTGGTCTTGACTCTTATCATCATACATTTTTTGAAATGCTTGGTAACTGGTCATTTGGAGACTACTTCAAGGTAATTTTCCAATCATTAATTAATTTTTTCTTTAAAATAAATTCATTGAAAAATTTTAGGAAGATGCTTGTAGATATGCATGGGATTTATTGGTCAATGTTTATGGAATAAAAAAAGAATTTTTATATGTTACTTATTTTGGTGGCAATGAAAAATTTAATCTAAAACCTGATTTGGAATGTAAAGAAATTTGGCTAAACATTGGTGTACCAGAAGATAAAATAATACCTTTCAGTATGACAGAAAATTTTTGGGAAATGGGGCCAACTGGTCCTTGTGGTCCTTGCACAGAAATCCATATTGATCAAGCAATGCAAGGAAAAAATCAAGCTTCTAGGGTCAATAAAGGTCATGATGATGTTACTGAATTATGGAATATTGTATTCATTCAATACCAAAGGTAGACAGCATCTTATAATTTTCATTTCTCTTGATCTTATGTTAAAAATATTTTTGATGATATTCTCAGGCTTACTAATGGACAAATTATTCCTTTACACAAAAAGCATGTTGATACAGGAATGGGTTTTGAGAGACTAGTTACTGTATTGCAAGAAAAACGTTCAAATTATGATACAGATCTTTTTGAACCTTATTTTGATGTAATTTCAAATATTTCTCATGCTCCAAAATATCAAGGATGCTTTGGAAATGCTGATAAAGACAAAATTGATACTGCGTATAGAATATTAGCTGATCATGCAAGAATGGTCACAGTTGCCCTGGCAGATGGAGTGTTACCAGATAAGAAGTTTGTAATGATCTTTACTACAAATCAATAATAAGAGGGCAAAATCAAAATTTTACTGATAATATTGTGTCATTATTTGCAGTCATAAGCTTAGAAGAATTTTAAGGAAAGCAATAGACATTAGTGAAGATGTTTTTAAAAACAGCTCACTTTTATCTGAACTGACAAATCATGTAGCTGATAATCTTGGTGATTTTTATCCAGAAATTCATCAAAATTTGAACAAGGTTTTGAAAACTATTACCATAAATTAAACTTCATCACTAAATGTGTTCTTATTTTGTAATTCATTTGTTTAGATTCAGTATATCATAAAATATGAAGAACAAGTTATGAAATCTGCAAGGCAGGCTGCTTTGAAAAATTGGAAAAAAGTTGTTAATAATAGACCTGAACTTTCTGAAGTACCTGATGCTACTCTACCTGGTTTGAGCGCTGGTTATTATGAACTTCAAAACTTATTAAAATCAAAGTAAGTTTATTTGATCACTAGGAAAAATTTTTTGTACAGATCATGATTTAAATTAGATTAAAATTAAAACGTTTTTTACAGAGCCCAAGTAAATGGCATAACTGGTGAATTTGCTTTTAAATTGTATGACACATATGGATTGAATGTAGAAACAATTTCTAAACTAGCTGAAATTGAATCAATTCCTTTTGACCCAAATAATTTTAAAATGGCTTTAGAAAAAGCTAAAAAACAATCTCGGCTTGATACACATAAAACAGATGATGAAATTATTTCAGAATATTCTTTAGATTTATTGGAATCAGGAAATATATCAAAAACTGATGATTCATTTAAATACGATTATTCTTACAATGGAAAAGAATACCAATTTCCAATTATCAAGAGCAAACTCATGGGAATAATAATCAATGGTATACATATTATTTATTATTTTTCATACAAGTGGCCCAAAAGTTACTATTTCCCTCTCCCTGTGTAAAACAAGATAAGTGATTTTTGGGCCACTGGGTATGAAATATGGTACACAGGCTTAAACTGGGAACAAAGCAAACCCCGGAGCTCATGCTTATTGGTAAATTGCGCTGCTGAGTATTGGCCAATGCGCTTGCTCTGGGACTTATCTGTTTTCCCTGGCCTATGGTAGTAATATACTCTTTCTCACAGGTGAAAATTAATTTTTATTGTAGGTAATTTAATTTCTCAACCTGAACCTTCTCTAAAAGTGGATGAAAGTCAAGCAGTTGTTGAAGCCACTGTTACTAGCAGTGGTAATATTGTTGAGAAAAGTTCAGTTGTGAATGCTGATACTGAAGTTGGTGTTATATTGGATCGAACCTCAGCATATTCATCAGCTGGTGGTCAAATATCAGATAAAGGCCACATACAAATAAAAAATCTCCTTTTTAAATTTGACTATGTAAAGAAAATACGTGGCTATCTGATTCATGTTGGACACTTTGTTGATTGGGAAGGAGTGTAAGTAATTAGAAAAAAAATTTGAACTGGAAGTTTTGTGAACATTATTTCTATTTTAGAGATCCTGATCAAGAGTTAAGGGTTGGTGATGATTGTTTAATATCAATTAATGAAGAAAGACGTTTAGGGGCGATGAGACATCATACAGCTGCACATTTACTAAACGCATCTTTAAAAAAAATACTTCCGGTTGTAGGTCAAAGAGGAAGTTGTGTAAGTGATAATGGGTTAGATTTTGAGTGCAGTACCTTTGGGAAAAAATTAACACTTAAGGAAGTTATTGAAATTGAAAATTATATTAATGAAACTATCAAAGCAAACGTCACTGTAAAAACGAAAACGGTTAATCTGTTACAAATGCTCAAAGAAAATAATCTCACAGTTATTCCTGGAGAAGTTTATCCTGAAAATGGAATTAGAATAGTAGAGATAAACAGCGAAATTTTGAATTCAAAGTAAGATTTTTAAATGATAAAACAATTTCAATTATATTAAAAACTTTCATTTTATATATGATTTAAATTTAATTACAGAGAAGCTTGTTGTGGAACTCACCTTCATAAAACTGGAACTTTGGAGGACTTTTGCATCGTAAATTTAAAATCTCAAGGAGCATCTAGCATTTATTTGAAAGCTTTAACTGGACCTGCAGCTACTTTAGCTAAATTATCTGGTGAAAACTTAAAAGATAGAATTTTTAAGTATGAAAATATACTTAAATCCAACAAAGTTGATTTAAAAGATTTGGAATTAAAAATACTCAGTGAGAGGCAAAAACTACTAGACAAAAACAAAAGAGTGAAACTTCCTTACGTAATAGTACAGCAGAGTTTGATACAATTAGAAAATTTGTTAAAAATAATAAAAAGTGAAGCTAAAGGCATAAGGAGGTGGGTAATGTTGAATATGGAAAAACCGATATTTTGAAAAGATTCTTAAATTTTCAATTTTTAGGAGTAGTATTGAAGAAGAAATTAAAAAATTACTTGATTCTTCATCTTTACCCTTTGTTGTGCATTTTTTGCAACCAAATAACGCAACTTTAGAGAATGTATCGTTGAAAAATATTATTAAACTTTGTCCTCCAACAACTCCAGTTTTTGTAATCATTCATTGCGACAATAAAATAAAGGCTCGATGCGTTGTACCGCCGGTAAATATGAACCTTCATTTTATAATTTTTAAATTTTAATTAATTTCATATTAATTTCTCTGTTATTGTATAGCATCTGCAATCAAATGAATTTAATGCCAAAATTTGGATGGAAGAAGTTTTGCGAATCTTTCAAACCAAGGGTAGCACGTTCAGAGACGATGATCCCCAGTATGCATACAATATGTCACCTACACATATATCAAATGATAACTTCAAGTCACTAATCGATAAAGCAATATCTAGTGCAACTAAATTTGCATCAATGTATATAAAATCCGAAAAATAAACCAAAAGAATAATGCAGATTTTGTTAAAAACTGTTAATAGACTTTGTTTAATATATGTTACAAATATTTGTTCTAAAAACATAATATATGCAGAGCAACAAATTAATTGGATACTGTACATAGGTAGACTGATAATTCTGTACATAACTGTGCATAATCTTATGTACTACGATTTTTTCGAAGAAATTTGATTGTTATAAAATATCCTCAAAGCCTGCCACTGAGCTTTGTGAAGCAGAATATGTTGTCGTTTTTCGCGCATAAAGTCAACTGCCTCTTCAGGAGTCCAACCATTTTTCTGAAAGAAAGTAACAATGATAATAAATAAATATAATTGTTAATAATGCATAAAATTACAAAAAACGAATTGTGTATCAATGAGGAACCTACCATCATTAAGTAACATCCAACAAGTGTAGCACTTCGAGTTCTACCTGCTTTACAATGGACGTAAACTGTAGGATTTTTTTCATTAACTTGATTTGTTTTCATATTTCTAAATTCATTGATGAAATTTACGCCTCTAACTAATTTTTCTGGGCAAGGTGTTTCAAATATATCGGTCGTTGATAGTTGCAAAAATTTTACGTTGTGTTTTTTCCATTCCTGTTGACAGATTTTTCAAAACTAATTTTATATTTATTTATCGAAAAAGTTAATCGAAAATTTAAAATTGTAAAGATACATTTCGTGTTAGTTGACGATGAATTTATCACATGTGTACAGAGCGGCCAATAATTAAGGCAAGAAAAAACCGTTATTTCGCGAAAATGTAGTAATTATAATGTACCGTGCGAATTCATTGAATTGTACATCTATTTCAAAAATTAAATAACTCCAGAAACCGGTATCATGGCGCAACATCTAGACTACTATTTGAAGTATTTTTAACTATTCAAATTAAAATTCTTTTAATTTGAATAAATTTCTCATCTTTTTCTCCCAAAACTCACTATTCTTCAATAATAAGTAATTCAAAATGGGTAAGCCGAGAAACGGCAGATCAGTACATCGCGGAATATTATGAAGTTGAATAAATATTCAAAGCAAACTCAATTCAATTCAAAATTTTTCAATCTGATACTTCATTTTTGAAGAGTGAACATTTGATTATTATTGAATAAACAATGAAAACAGATGCTTTTGCGTAATTTTATTTTACGAATTGTTTATAACTCGTGACCGATTTATCGTACGAAAAATTGATAAGAGTTATTTTTTTCACAATGAAAAACGTGTTTTTTATCAAATGTTATACCTGATCACGTAAATTTTTTTCGAAAAAATGTGTATATAAACTTCAAAATTATATTCATAATATTTAAAGACCTACCTCTCCCGAGTTTGAAAGCCACCATAATTCGTAATCTTCATTCATTGAGACGACTCCTTTGACGTTTTCTTCTTGGACTAACTATTTATTCATTAATTAAATAATTGTTTTAATTAACACGAGAAAAAAGTATTTGCAAAGAAATTTAAAATGAATCATACCTGTTTGGTCATGGTTCTAAATGGGAGAGCTCCCAAAATGACAGTTTCATCAATGCGATCGTACCATCGTCGGGTAGACACTTTTTCCATAAAAATATTGTACAGCAATGTGGGATAAAAAGTAACTCTGGCAAACATTGTACCTGCAAAATTATTTTTACATCAGGTTTATTGAATTCGCGTGAAATTTGTTTTTGGATTTACAATTAATTTAATTTCCTGGAGAAAATCGTATGATTGTGTTAAATTATTTTGCACAAATAAAAATGTATAGCTCTCCAAAAAATATTACATGCTCTGACAATCAAAGAAGAAGTAAAACTGAGTACAGTGAAAGTTCAGAAAAGTAAGCTAAAGTTAAAGTCTCTTTATTTGAAGGAGGGGGAAGTTTAAAGTGGGACTCTTCTGTGAAAGAAGTGGGGGCAAACAATTATATGCCTATTAATCATGCACACTTTTCAAATTTTAATATCAATGGAATTTAATATTAATGATGTCAATATTTGACACGACCTTCATTTTGCAGCATTTGAGTATGAAGAGAATTATTCATATTGTCAACGTCAAAATCTTTTTTAGTATGACATAAAAAACTGTTTTAGTTAGAGATTACTTTACCTTTAATGCTAGTAATAAATGAAAAATTTTTTCTAGTTAAATTTTGAATTTATTTACATATATTACATGGAGATCTGTTTGTGTGAGACATGGTTTATCATAGACATCAATCATAGACAGTTTATCATAGATATCATATATTCTTATCATAGATATAAAGTCTACAATTTTTTTAAGAAGTATATCATAATGGCCTCAAGATTTATTATTTTTCAGTAACGTATTCAAAAATTTAATCATCATCCGATGTTAAAATATCTCTGTCCAAGCAGTATAGACCTAATTCACCACTTCTAAAAGCTCTGATAAAAGAAAGAGCAGCAGAATTAAAATCTGGTCTTGCAACAATTCGCCCTAAAGTAACATCTTTTCTCTTCAGAACTTTCTTTTCTTTAACAGCTAGTTGTATCAGAACTTCCATAATATCATCAGTTGGTTCTTTCAATTGTAATTTTTCCACGTATTCAAATCTTTTGTTTTTATTTAACCAAAACAATAAATAATCAGCAATTACTTCAGGACCAACTAGATGATCTTGAGAGCAACCTACTAGTGCAAGTTTAAAGCCAGTGATAGCATCTTTAACATTTGGTGGTAAAATTCCTGGTGTGTCTAATAAATATACTAGAGGATCTTCAGATATTTTAATTTTAGTCATCACAGATCTAGTGATACCTGCTACTCCTCCAACTGCAGCTGCTTTAGATTTTCGTAAGTGTGTACTTCGTAATCTATTAATCAATGAGGATTTACCTACATTAGGAACTCCTATAACCATAACACTATAATCTTTTTCTTCAGAACGATTGAATCGATCAGAATTAGCAATCAAATTTTGCATTAAAGGTAGAATTTTTTTTGACTCTTTGCATGATTCATCTTTTAAATTAGTTTGAAGAATATTTTGTATGCCTTCTTTGCGTAATATATTTAAGGCTGGGGCCATGTAGGTTTTATCAGCTAAATCAATTTTATTAAGGACAAAAATGTGTGGTTTTAATCCCAATAAGGTTTTTTTAAAATCTGCATAACGACCTGATATTGGTATTCGTGAGTCATGCACTTCAATTATACAGTCAACATTTTTTAATTGTTTTTCCATTTGTTTCACTCCTTTTCCCATGTGGCCAGGAAACCATCTAAGCACATCTTTGTTAGAAACTTTAAATACTTCTCGAAAACTTGCTACTTTACCTCCAAAAACATTAGCCATTTTTTTCTCTTGAAAAGATTGACAGATCACGTAATTTCAACTTTTGCAAACTTTGAGATTTTCTTCAACGTCGGTGAAAATTTGACATTCTACAAATTAAACAAATGGTATAATTAACACCAATAATGCAACGCATGCAGCAGAGTACATAAGCAACTAGTATCAATTTAGAATGGAACTAACATTAACTTAACCTAAATTAGAAAATAACAAATTAGAGAAGTCAATATTTCACAAAGCTGAGAAATTTACAAGAAATGATAAATAGGGCTAAATATTTGTTTCGATTCCACAACTAATTGCATTTGGTACTTAAAATGTTTCCGATTAAATTATACGTCCCGCTGTTGCAAGGTGAGGTAAATAAGAAAAAAGAGTTTAATTTTACTGTAAAACATAAACAAAAAAAAGTATTCAGGAATTGTTAAGCTGCATTATTACTTACTTTTTAATTAAATTTTTCTAAAGATTTTTTTCTGGACTGTTTTATAATCTTAGTTCTTCAACCGGCTTGGCAGACGTAAAAAAAGTAGAGTGTATCAAGTTGTACCAATTCAAGTGCCTATCTGCTAGCTCAGAATTTGTCTCACTTCGCCTACACGCACATGTGGAAATGCGCTCAAAAATCAAATAAAGCGTAATTGACATCTAACATCGAAATTAACTAAAAAACTATAACTATATACAAAAACTAAAAATGTTATTTAAAAAATTATCTGTTCGTACAATAACGTTATAATTCATTGAATTGGAAGTAATTAAGCGATTTGCTCGGTTTAAACAACTTTTTAGTTAGATTATGAAACGTTTTTTATGAGAAACTCAAAAAATTAACATGGAAACATATCAAGGGAGCGAGCGAGTCATGTTCGGCAATGAATTCAGATGGCAAGAAAGTTTTTCGCTTTCAATTTTCATACTCCCACGCAAAGTTTGCACATCGCACGTTTGCACGCAGTACATAGAGTCAGTAGCGGCGCATGTATCAGTTTGGCAGCTGCTGAGTGTTTTATACCTATATACGTATGAAGTAGTGTATGTGTGTGTACGTATCGCGCAAAGAGCTGTTTTTGCTATAGGATTACACACGCGCGCACACACATGCATATGAATAAGTACGTCAATGCGTGCGCGAGATTATAGTCTCTACTACCGTGGCTCTGTATGTGACGACTCGGGCCAGTGACAGAAAAACAGCAGCAGCTGCTGCTCTCTCAGACTGCGCGAGAGCTGTGCTGTGTTGTGTTGCGTATGTAGGTATATTTATATACATATATAGGTGCAGGTATAAGCAGTCTACGCAGAGAGCCTCGATCTCGCGAGTTCTTGGCCACATAACAATAGCTCAACGAGTGTCGTTGTCAGTGTATACATTGGCACACATTAGATCGCGAATACAAAGTATCGGGCCGATACAAAGGATACACGCGTGGATGCAATGGCTCGGATACTGGCTGCGTTATCGTCATTGACGACCTAATTGTCAGTGCTGGTGGAGAAGTGAATGGTGCGCGTTATACATTATAACGAGCGGATAACCGCGAGAGCAGCGCGCGCTCGAGACTAGACACTACACGTCTACGAAGAGCCTTCGTATAGTTTGTTCAGTGGATCGTTGAGCCCAGCGCACCACGTAGCGGAGCGTGTGCTCGGCGCTCAAGGAGAAATAATCATAGCACCTCGACAATCGTTTGGCACATTTCGTCAGCCTTTGATGCGGCTGGAGGAAGAAAAGGTAGTCGCAAACGACGACGACGACGACGACGAAGAGGACGAAGATTTAGCTGTTGATCTCGTTGTAAATAGAGGGTATCAGCCGATGAGTGACAGCAGACGAGTTGTGCGCGTTGCCGACGTTGTACTGCTGCAGCAAGTAGGAGCTGCTCGTCGTTGTGCGGAAGGAGCCAGCGCGAGCGATAGCCGCGTTCTAGCGCTCGCAGCGAGGAGGAGGACGAGACAGCAGCACTCGGAGCCTCGTCGGGCCTCGAGACTGTCAGGATGGCGACCACCACGAGCAGCTGCTGCTCCGAGGGCTCGTCGTGTCACGCGCCGGCCGACTTCACCCTGTCCGCGGAGCTCGACGACGAGGCCCACGAGCGCCCGGCCAATCTGCTCAAGTGCCCGCTCTGTCGCAATGGCCGTAAGAACTTTTACTGCAGGCAGTGCGTGCAGAACGGCGAGTTCTTGCACACGATATCGCTCTTTTGCGAGAAGTGAGTACTAAGACTTTACTTTGACAATTGCTATACTTGTCCGAGCTTCTCTGTGTGGCTTTCTTTGTTTTTTTTTTGCTCCCCTTTGCTCGCGCAGTGCAGACACTGTTTACGATGTTCATTTACTGATTACGCACGTAATTATAGTTCGACCGACTACTGTCAGTGCACAATGCCCGCTTTTTATGAGTGTTTTTTATTACTACTTTTTTTTTAATGCATGTTCTTACCATCTGCAAATTCGAGAAGATCGAATTATTTGTATCACAGCTCCAGGTTCTGTGATAAGCAGCAGCGCTTGGCACGATTAAAAACCGCCCGAAATCAGCTGGAAGAAAGATGCACGAGAGCGATGGAAAAACGTAAACAACGCGACGAACTGGTGAGCCTAAATGATTTAATTTCCACGTATTTTCACGTATACCATTTTCGTGTCATATGATTACCATAATTCGTGCTTTTCTTCTAGATTTGCGATATAAGTGCTTGTAAAGAAAGATTAAGGCAGCTTCAAAACATTCAAAAAGAAACAAAACAAAATATAAATCGAGGTAATCATCGTCTTGTTTCTGCGTGAACGCTGTCTGTCATAAATCTTACAATTAATCATTATTTTTTATAGGAAACCAGCGTCTCAGCGTTTTGAAGGAAAATAACTCGCAATTAGATTTAAAAATGCCTAAGCACGAAGAACAAATCGAAAAATTACGGAAACGCGTCACTGAATTAAAAGTCAAGCAAGAGAGGCAAAAAGAATCTGTGGAGAAAAAGAGGTTGCAGTTAAAGAAAGCCATTAGAATAGCTGCAAAGCAATTAATTGAGTACATATTTCCCCTTAGTCAAGTTGACCCAAGTGAATGGTATAATCTTAAATTTCCCATAAAACATTACCATTAGTTGAAGCAAATTTTTACCAATTTTTTTCTCTGATAGCTTGAATAAAAGTGAAGATGAAGGATCATGTACAGACATGATTGCTTTTGCTCTAGCTGATGCATCTGGAACTTCATATGTTAGGGGTAAATGGATCAATGACACAGAAAATAGCTTGGAACTACATCATCGTATTGTGGCTCCTACTTTGCCTGGATCTGGAGATTACAGTGCTTACAGTCTGTGGGGTATGATAATATATTTTATAATTTTATAGAATTATGTGAACCTTATATTAACTAATGTCTCAATTTTTCCAGTTGCTCAAAACAAAGACAGTGTTCCAGGTGGGAATAAAGAAAATGCCATGCACAATCCTGCTTACAACATCACATCAGCACTAGCATATGCTGCACAACTTGTTAATGTTCTAGCTCACTACTTAAATGTCAGACTTCCATATAAACTTGCTTATGGGTGAGAATCTAAAAGTGTATTTCGAGTCTTTTTGAGAACTAAATTAAAAAATATAAAATAATAATAATAATTCAATTTGCAGAGAATTTTATGGCAGTGAAATGTCTGATCAAAAATTTGCTCGCAAAGTAGCTAGATTAAATAGCAATATATTACACCTTTGCTTTTCACAAAATACTGAAACATCTGTTTTACATCCAATGCATACTTTACAAAACTTGATTCATCTACTGAATACCGACATAAGTGACCTGGGAAGGTAATAAATGACAAAAAAGGTTTTTATTTATTTTTTAAAATTTCATTATTGTTAAAATTTTTTTCAGAATTGGACCTATTGAAGTTGACCCAAATTTAATGGCACAATTCAATAGTCAACTAGCTCAAGATTTAGAAAACAGTGATGACTCTGCATCTGATGAAGAAGAAGATGCTTTCAACTGGGAATGGGAAGCTGTAAGAAAATCAAATCTTTTTTTAATCACTATTCATTTACAAGCTAAAAAATTATGACCTGATAACAAACAATTGAAAATTTTCCAGGTTCCAAATGTTGCTTGTCCTGAAATGGTAGTTCCTATTCCAGGAGGCATGACTAGCCAACAGTCTGCAAGTATGCAAGTTAATCAAAGTGTAGCAGGTGGTTTAGTGACAAGTGCAGCTGCAAGTATTGCATCTATATGGAGAGGTTGGACTACCAACAAATAGCATGAATTCAATTTTTTTACTTTGCGTTTTAAGTGCAGTCAGAAATATATATATATATAATCTATATATATATAATCTATATATTTCTATTTAATTATATATATAGGATATATAAATATGTTAATTGTTAATGAATTTTTTTTTAATAAAACCACGAAGGTATTATGTACCTGTTAGACAAGTTTTGTACTGAAATTCATCTTAACTAACGAATAATTTTTTGACATTTTTTATGTTCATCTTCATATTTTTTTTATGTAAGAACTGTAGTAATAAATTAAGTCCATAAAATTTTGTTTCTAATAATTTTATGTGTAAAAATTTGCAATTTTTCATCAGTATAAAGTTTATATTACATAGCTACATAGACAAATGATATTAATGTAAAAATATTGGTTATAAATACAAATCAATTGGTCTCATTAGTTAATAAATATAAAATTAATTGAATGATTATGAAGAGTAATTTGTAATGTCATTTTTATATTTTGAATAATTTTAAGGTTTAGCCTGAGAATGTGATGAATGAAACATGTGTGAAATAAGTGCTATTTATAGTAGTATAGAATACCAACGTACGAATATTCTATGCAGTTTATATCGGCTCAAATTGAATAATGTTACACAATAAAATCTAGATAGGTAAAATAATAAATGTGTGTACATGTGGTATGCGTGAAAAAAAATGGATTATTGATGTTATTTTTGTACAGTTTAATATTTTCGAATGAATGGGAAAATCATTTTTTCAATTTATGACTAAACTGTGCTCATAAGTTAGTGTTATTTTAAATTAAAATTTCATTCAATTTTTGTTGAATTTGAAAATTATCTGTGAGACATGTAACCCTACACTTGGAACTTACACTGCAGTGTTTTCATGTTAGTTCAATTATATTCATTTAATTTAGATAAAAATATGAAAAAAACTATTTTTATAAAAGATTAATAGTTACGTTTATATTTGCTACAAAAAAGTTGAATAGCTTGATAAACTGCTGCCTGAATACCTTTGATTATTAAATCGTGTAGTATTTATATCATAAAGTACAATATTAATATAAGATATTAAGTAATAGGCACTACAATAGTAAACGTTATCAAGCATAACAATGATAAAAATTAAGTTAATGCGAATTTTTCGTAAACCTTTTTTTTCTTGTTATAAAAGTTGTTTCTCATTCTAAAGAAAAATAAATTTTATTTAATTATGTAAATCTTAATGGAAATCTTGATTGATAAATATCAAAAGCTTGATAATAATTTTCGAAAGTAAATGGCAATTGTAAATATGTAATATGAGTTTAATAGGGTGGCAACAATTTTCTAGTCACTCTAGAATTGAAAAAAATTCAGAACGGGCGATAGAAAAAAATCGTTGAAGTTTTATTTCAGCAAACATTCAATGTGATATATATGTAAAATTAGATTACTCATTAGATTATTGTGTATTATGTTTGAATAAAAACTAATTTCACAGTTCTAAAATAATGAGCTATAATTTTTTTTATCAATTCCATAATTAAAGGATAGAGGATGTTTGTGACGTAGTTATTGTAAAATAAACATTCAAGTTTTTTTTTCGAACTACAAATGTAAATTTATTGTTCACACTCTTTCTTGATACTTGAAACACATTGGCTTTACAAATGTTACAACAATTTTTTTTTTATCGTAAATCATTTTTTTAACAAACAATTTTTCAACATTCGTATTTGTAAGTACGTGAATAAGTTTGTTGAAATTAGATATTCTCTTGTACTTCTTAGAGGAAAAATCCATGGTTCAAGTTTAAATTTTTGTAGATCAAATACATCAGACGCAATAGTAATAAAACCCATAAAAAACTCTGCTCAAGTTAAATTTTTTACTTTTACTTTTACAATTCTTCACTAATGAGTCACGCTATTTGAGCTCATTATCTGTAAAGTCAACGTTTTATTTATTAACTTATAGTTAATAACTTTTGTATGTATTTTCATTCGAGACTATTTTACGAAATTAATATCTTGTTTTCATTTCCATGTTCAAATTTGATTTCATAGGATAAAATGCTTTTCGTTAGTCATTTTTAGATAATAAAAGGTAACTTCATTCATTAATAAATGTTATTTTGATCATTTGAATAGAAAGATTATTGACAAAAAATTATTTTCCAACTCATTGTTGTGTACTAGGATTATGTAATAAAATTATTTTCTTTGTATTTTTGTTTGTATAGAATATATAGTATAAAATGTGAATATCAAAGTATTTTAGAATGTATGGAATTTTACAGAATGATCAGTGACACTATAATTTCATACAAAAGTTAATTTAATTTTAATTAAAAAGCAATAAATGCTTAAAACGCAAAATTCAAGGGAATATCTGACTATATTTGAAAAAATTTGGAACATAATAATGAGAAAACTTGATAAATATCATCAAAAAATGCAAACAACCCACAAACTACTTTAGCCAAGTTGATTTCATAATACTAAAAAGAGTAGATCTTATGTTATTTTCTGATAAATTTATCCATGTATATTATTATGTACAGAGTTTGATCTATTGTTATTATTACGTTGTTTTTTCCATGCTCTACACACAATTGATGTGCCTTAGCTTCATGTGCATTTGCATAAACATTCAATATTTAATTTATAAATTGTATGGTACAACACATATGCATTACGTGAAACTATGGATAGTATTGCGACCGTGTGGCATAATGCAGAAAACTACAACTTGCGACTTGTTATTTTGAGCTCTCAATATCTAGAACTATAAAAATATATGTCTGTATTTAACAGCGCGATATTTTTTATCATTTCAGAAATTTCATTCAATCCTATGGAGGGATCCATTCAAGTATGATTTCGATTGTTCGTTTAAAATCTAGATTACACTTCATTCGTACTTTTGCATTTCTGTTATTATTTGAGTGTCCTGCACGTAAAATTTTATTTTTAAATAACGAATAAAATTTATTGAAATCAAGAGGCTATAACACATTGGAATCAGCATCGACACACCATTTATCAGATACCTTCTTGACATTTTTAAAGTAAAATACGTTTTCATGTAATCTCGATTTAGGTTTCTTGATTGTTGATGTATAGATCTTTAGTTTTTATTTTCATTCAACTCGCTATATCGATTCAGAATTATTATGAATATAGGTAAACAAGTGAATAAATTATTCAATTATCGCTGAAAATATTATGCATGATTCAAGGTTGATAAAGTGTATGAAATTGTTAGTATGTCATAAGAAATTTTTTTAATAAAAAGATTGAAACATATAACAAATCATCAACTAAAATCACTTCCTAAATTAATAAATAGTTTCCAAAAGTATACATGTTTAGTTTAAACAATAATAAAAAAAAGTGATTTCACAATTTTTTTCAAAATGCATGCTCTACTTTTGTAGGTTTCAAGCATTTTTCTTTTTTTAAAACTAATTAATAATGCAAATAAAAACTTTTAAAATACTCATCAATCGCTTTTGAGCTGATTGACCAAAATTATCAGATTCAAGCAATCACATTTGCATTATTTTTAAATCGAAAAATGGTATTGTACAAAATGTTCAAGTCTGCTGTATAGTAAAAGCTCCTGGTATCTTTGTCTAGTTTGGTGTCTAAGAGTTAATAAATTAAATTTTTCAATTATTTTGTGATTAAAAGTTAATAAAAAGAACTCGTCAACTTGAACTGTTTCACTCTCAACGGAAATTTTTTTAAAATAAATATTCAGCCACGACGACGATGAATGATCTAAAAATTTTGTTTTACAGTCAAATCCTCGAGGTTTTTGTACACTTTAAGCAGTTTAATTTAAACTTGCCATTAATTATTTTGGACATCATTGTATGCAAGATTGATAGAGTCTTCCATACCAGGGCACTCTTTACGGAACACGGTTTCAATTAATTTTTGCCTAGAAAAAAAAAATGATAATTTGATTTAAAAATATACAAATTATTGTAAGTTAAACGATTATTGAATTTCATCCAATACAAAAAACTATTTTACACTCGAAAGTGATAACTAAACAATAGGAAACTTAGTTGAATGATTATTTTTGTGAATATTAATAATAAAATAAATAATTATACAAATTTTCATAAAAAATGAATCATGCTTTAATAAAACTTCAACTTACTTAGCAGCAAGACCACCTCCTGGGGGCAAATTTGGGATGCACATATCCATGAGAGCATGAAGTACTGACACATATTGGAAATCTTTATTTTGTTGATTAGATTCTATCATATCTGTAGAGAAAAAAAACATAATTATAAGTCACCAAAATTCATTCATAATGACAATATCAAATAGTGCTTTGAAATCGCAGAAAATATATATGTATATAATTTATTATAAAAATTTGAATACATAACAGGCATACGGAATATGCAAAGCATTTTTGTATGAACCATCACATTTTTCATAGTATATAAAATGTATGTGCATTAAATAATTAACACTGAATAAATTAATTTGATGTTGGATGACAATTAATGTCTGAAGAAATTGCATATGATGATGAATGAATAAATGTATTAAATGCCAATCATATAGAATCACACCAAATAGCAGAATTAAATATAAATTTTAAAAGAACATGCAGCTACTTAAGACTGGAAATATATGTCTTCACAATACATTTCTTATGGTTAATATCATTTTAGGCACAAAATTCCGGTCCTAAGTAGGTACATAACGTGTTTAAATACTAGTTAGTTTTTTTTTATTTATAGTTTCCACCAATGGAATTGTTTTAACAACTGTTCTTCAAATCTTTAGAAACGTGAATTATACTCGATTTTTTTTTCATTATCATGTGATAATTGCTTGGCCATAAGAAATGCATGCTAACAAGATTAAAACGTTTGCAAAATCTAAAACAAAACAAATTATTTAAGTTTACCTACCTGTAATTAATAAGGTCATGAATGAATAATTCGAAATACCGAAATTTTTAGTGAAAAAAATCTGCCAATCTGAGTTAAATTAAATCGAACAAATCCAAAGGTGGAATTATAATTTTTATAATTTTTCAGTAACGGCAGAAATTTTAAAAAATTTTTAAATAATTTTAGATGTGGTAAAAATTATTTCAAAGAACTTAAACAGTTCATAATAATTTTTATTGCTTTTCACCTATACTTTAAATGGCACAAATAGCGAGCACTTAGTAAGTGTTGGTAAGCAATGATATGTTTGTTGTACACATTTTTTTTAAAGGATTTTAAAAATATTATGGCATCTATACATCATACTGCTACATTTGTATTTGTCAACTTTTCCTTAGAATTTTGTGAAAATTCTATTTTCACCTTCTAATTTTTATGTTGCAAAACATGATTGTTTTAGAGGCTTTAGCTCACAAATTACCCATACAGTTTTATACACAGCTTAGTTCCCAATGAAGCCAGTCCAATAACAATTATCAACTATTCAATCAAGAATAGAATGTCAATATTAATTGATACCATTCAAGAATATAACAATGATGATTATAAAACATTTTATGGCATTTAATTTTCACTGTAAGACTAAAAGTATCTATCAGTTTTCAGTAAATTATTTCATTATCATATTTATTGCAAGGAGAAAAACTTGAAAGTTTGTCTATTTATGTGTCAATTAAACAGCTTGAATCACTATATTGCTTGGTGTTAAGATTTATACTCAAAAAACAATTATATCTTTTTAACATTGATTGAAGAATGAAAAATTAGTGTAATAACATATGTGAGTTAAAACCTTCACCATATTAAGAGGGGAAATTGGAGTATTCTATTAATTGACTGTATTTACTATACATACTTGTGTTAAGGAAAAATTAAGAGGAGATCGGAGCTAAATATACCAAAATTACATAAATGATTAATTCAAGTCCGATTAGAATATGCTTAAAATACTTATGTATGCAGGTACATTAATTTTTTAACTGAAATTCATTTTTGATTTCCATCTAAATGGTGAATTATCAAATTGTTTAGAAATAAACACTACTCACAACTACTTTATCTAAAAACTTCAGTAATTACGAAACATGCTAATATCTCCGACAACCTCTTAATAAAATTCACTAACCGAAGGCAGTTTTTTTAAATATATAACACATTAACTTTTTTACTACAAAAACAACATTAACAGTAATTATAGCGTTACTGTCTGGTGTTAATTTGCACTATTTTTTGAAAAAATAATACATTATCTCGCGTATTTTCATCAAAATATGCAAAATCTCAAGTTCCAAACTTAGAGCTCTGTCACTTCTGTCAAGAACGTCAAATAACAAATATATTCTCTGCTTTCAATATAAATATATCAATATACTCTTGTTTAAGTGTATAGCATTATTGTTTAAGGATAGAAATTTTTTAGTTTGGCAAGATCTTTGGTCTACTAGTACGCACAGCCAAGTGTCCATAAACTTAGTTTTATTTCTTACACACGATAGCACCATTTTTTAACTATCCACGTAAATATTTGTGCATCAAGTACGTTCACGTTTACGCGAGCGTGATCGTCTATTAATGCAGCAGCATAGAGAAAGAATTGAAAATAAATATGGATATGACAATGAACCTTTAATTGTCCTTTCAATGAACATATCAAGTTCTGCTTCTCTCTTTTTTGCCTCTGGATTAGGTTTTGGAGCTCCAGGAAATGTGATCAACACTATACTCATATTATCTCTGCTACCCTGTAACATTTTGTACATTTTTATGTTGTAAACAAATTTATTTTTCAAATATATATGAGTAAATATTTATAAAGAAAGTTTAGAACTATCACAGGTCCAAAATACAAAAATTAGTACAAATATTTGAAATACCTTGTACAGACAAGTGTCAATGACTTGATTGGTAACTTCCTGTAGATCATCAGTGAGGAGTAGTCTGGAATGTATGAATTCGCACAAGTTTTCATTGGTCATAACATCCCAAATACCATCACAAGCAAGAACTAAGAATTCATCATCTTCGGAACGGTCTCGTGCAAAAATTTCAGGTTCGGGTGAAACAAGCTGCTCGCAAGGTCCCATGCCTTCGACATTTTTGTATTCGAAATCGCCGAGCGCTCGAGAAACAGCCAGTAAGCCATTTACTCGTTGAATCAAGACACTGCCACCAGCTTTTTGAATTCTTTCTTTCTCAGCTGGCAGAACTGGCTTATGATCACGCGTAGCAAAAACTGGACTACCCCCTCTGCATAGAACTGCTCGAGAATCACCACAATTAGCAATGAAGATGTTTTTTGGCGAAATAAATGCGCATACCTGTAGTAAAATATATATTACTGTTAAAATGATGTTTTCAATTTTTTTTTAAAAATACATAAAATACTTACAGCTGTAGATCCTGACTTGTCTTTTCCATTAGTCATTTGTGGAAGACCTCGCATTTTTTTATCAAGATTTAAAAATCCAGAATGTATTCCCTTTATCACATCTTCAGCTTTGAATTCTTCTGTTTGCATGATACATTCTAATAAATTTTCTGCACCATGTGCAGATACCGAAGCCCCTGCATGCCCATCAAAAACAGCAAAGTAGCTCCAGTCACTTAAACTGCCATCTAATCCAGTGAGTGCTCTGTGAGCATCTTCCATCTCGGTTCTCCATCCTTGCATGCTAGCAACTCCATACTTGAGTCCATTGCCTTCTCCAGACTCGTTATACTTTTCAGTCTTAGGTGTATCTAAGAATGCCCCCATAACTGCACAATGTATTAGCTGCAGTAGACAATTTTATTTTCACTGTGTATTATTTGAACAATCTCTTCCATCGATCAAATGCAGCAACAACTTGCATATTTTTCCTGAAAAATAACAATGAGATAAATTTTATCTAATGAAGTTGACATAAAAATTTAAAGCTCAAATGTTGAAGAGGTTGAATATCACGAAGCTGAACATTATTTTATGTATAAGAAAATAATTAAATTCGTAAAAGAGTTCATACTAAGTGTGTTCTATACGACTTTCTGGCTAACACTTTAATTTCCTGCTCTTCTAACACCTTGAAAAAGTTGAAGCAATTCATCAAGCTCTCAAGCGAAAAATCTATTTTTACCCCATTACGCGCGCACTCGAGTTTTCGGTAAAGCACCGAACTCGCGCGTTATCTTCCAAATTCGATAAAGCGAAGGAAAAATCAATAACCCTGCATTGCTAGAGCAATATACGAGTGTGTAGGCAACAAACAGCTCATATACGCAAATTTATCTGCACGACGACCTTCCGTGAGAGCAATTTTTCACGCTTTTAAGATGCGAAAAGTTGCACAACTCAGAAGACATCGATCAACTCTTTTGCATCGAAACTCACTTATAAAATATAGGCGAGACATATTCGACACTTTTTATCAAGATTATGAGGAAACGACGCTAATTTCAACAACGGTAAAGAATATAAAGCGAGTACACGTTTATATATACCTATGAGGTAATACGCGTTGACCAGGAGCAGCAACAGCAGAAGCAGTCAACGTGCAAGTTTTTTGGGATGCGTGCGTATCGATCATGTGATGGAAAACGGAGTGCGAAAAAAAGAGCTGGTGCGCGTGCCGTGCTATTGCTCGCTAGAGCAACGCGCGCGCGGAGTAACAAAGACGGGACGATAGCGCGCTTGAATGAACGCACGCGATATGTGCGACCTTATGCCTGTACGCATATGTGTATACGTGCATAACGTATATAAGCAGCGATGCAAGCGCAAAAGAGCCGAGACTCATAGCTTCTGTGTTTGTACACACACGTCGATGGGATTCGCGCTCTTTTTTCCTGTCCAACATAACGCACATGGTCAAGCGCATTATAGACTCGTCTGTGTTGATCGCGACGTTTGCGCGAGACAGACACATGGAAAGAGAGATAAACTCGCGGTTGTTGATTATTGTGTCTCGGCGCGCGCGAAAACTCGCTAGCAGCCGAAGGCGATTATGGTGTTGCAGTATGCTATACATGCATCGCACCAACATTCGTATACGTTAGTAAAAGGCTATACGAGGTGTAACTCTACGTAAAGCGTTTGCTGATAATCTAATAGGGAAGCACTCAAGAGGGACTATTTTTTTCTTTCTTCCTCTCTCTCTCTTTCTCGCTCTCGCCCTATCTATCTATGACGTATATGAGAGAGGGATAACGATTTACAAAGGGGACACGTATGGAGGGTGTAGATATTAGTCACTGTCCTAGCAATGCAAAAGTCAGCTATCTCAATATTGAACAACGCCATTCTCTATCCTCACTCGGGGGATTATCGCTTGTTTGTTCGTTTTTTTTTCTCAAGTACACAAAACTCTTCACTATTATTCCGCTTCGAGTATAATTGATCACAATAAAGAAACTATCGGCGATCGTCATAATGTATTTTTCGATAAATTTACGAGTATACGTACTCAGATTTGGAAAGGGTCTCGAGTAATCATCTGCAACTAATGATTGCACTCGTTGACGCGGGCGAACCTTTCCATAATTTCCACTGGAAAGTTCACGCATAGAAGTCAAAAGTTCACTCGCGCTATCGCGTCACGTACACAGTGGCGTTCTCTGACAGACAATCAGAGTTGGAACGCGGGGCACTTATCGAAGCGGGAAAGAAAAGGAGCGAGAAAATTGCGCGACTCTCGCTGCAGTCGAAAGTCTCTGTCAATGAAAAGCCCAGACGTCGCTGCTCTCTCGCTCTTTTTCTTTGGCGAGAAAGGAGCTCTTTAGTGGCATTTCGTGGCACGCGCGAGATACTGCTACTATAGATTCGCATTCACCAGGCTGCGAGCCGAGCAGTAAGCAAGCAGGCAAGCGATGTCCCGGTAGCGTTGGAGCGCCTGCGCGCGACAGAAACGAGATTATTGAGAGACGAGGAAAAGACGGTCGACTCGACGATCTCGAAACAGAAAAATACAAGCGACTGCATTGAATGCGTTTAATTATTTGGGATTTGCAGCGAGATCGCCAATAGAAAAGACGAATAAACATAAACGAATTTTCTTTATCCTCTTTTTTTAAACTTTAAACTCCTCGTGAGATTGCATTTATTGACACGCAGTGGCAGGCCATAGAGAGGAGCTCGGAGTTCCTCCCGCCTGTGGCTCATTATACAATTAATATAAACACACACACACCCAAACACGGAAGATGTGGTTTTTCAATGGCACGATGAATATGCGGCGCGGCCTTGACAGTAACAACTAACAGCTATCTGCATATACACGCGCGCGATCATGCATACAAGCAGCGACGGCAGCAGCAGCAGCCAATATATAGAGGGAACAATTTCGTAGTCGCTTGCCAATTTCTGCTCTCGCGATCGTGTGCACTTTCTTTTTCGTTGAGCTTGGAGAGCCTCGGCTCCGCATGCTCTTGTGTATGTACGCACGTATATATATATATATATATATATATATTATCCGGGGCCTCTATAGCTCTATACAATATCTACATTGTCGCTTTGCCAAGAAGCAAATACGTAACAAAACCCAGAGAGCCAACGAGAGAGGAATACATTTCACGAGTCAGGTAGTATTTACCTCACGGATGCGACGATGAACTCGGGCCACTTTCCCTATCTATATATCTCTCTATCCGTGTCTCTTCTTTTTGCTCTCCGTTTGATATTCTCTCGCGAGTATACGCGCACACTTCTGGTCACACCTCTCTGTTTATGAAAAACACCACCGTTGTTTATGAGTCGTAAGATATAATCAACGCGTATACAAGCAAGAATACTTTAATGAACCTATATGTATGTACCTACGTAGCGCAAGAGTTTATGCTATCGAAGTGTATCGTGAACGATGTCGGACAACACACGAGCGAAGAAAATACACAACTGCTAACCGACAGGCGAAACTTTGGCTTCCTGCGAACCGCTCCGGAGTCGGGAGTCGGGACGAGCCCGTCGTCGTCGTTGTCTCTCTTCGTGTCCTCTTGCTCGATCTGGCTATGATCTGCACACACGCTTTCTCCAATGAAGAAGAGAACGAAACAAAAAAATAATAACGACTGCAACTCAACCGAACTCGTCGACGAGAGAAACAGACGCAAACTTACGCACGCTGCGATCGCGACTCAATGCGAATAGCAGCTACGGCAGGCTTGTACACATTTGTGGGTTATGCGTAACAAGGATCCGCGGGAATTGCGGACTGGCGCTTGCGCTCCGCGGAGAGTTTTGGCCCCCGAGTATTCCGGAGTGGGCAGAAGTCGGCAAAATAATTGCTGTATAGTCGCAACGGCGCGCGATTCGCATGCGGGAGTCTGCCACCTTACCTATACACTGTTGAGTCGACTTTATGTACCTGTACGAGTGCCACATCGTCAGCGCGGAATATAAGTTATAACTTATATGCGTGTGATCGTCTTCCGAATTTTATCCGGAACCAGGGTCTATTATTATGACTAATTTTTGTGAGCGGACTGCAGTTCAGATTTTTATTATGATTACGATCTAATCTCGAATTCATCTTCATTTACATGAACAAACGACAGTACGATTTTTTGGTCGTGCATAGGATACGTTTCTTTGACTAGACTTTAATTGTTTACACAATCAAAAAGTTGTAAATTTTCAACTTTCCAAACGGCCTTGGCTCTTTGAAATAAAACGACACCGCCGCCGTTTCAATACTTGCTGCGCGAACGACCGTCACAAGTGATTAAATTAGGCAATCTAGCGTATAAATTCAAAAATCGATTAATACGATTTATCGCGTAGATGATACACCCCAAGCGGCTTAAACAACGATGCGCCGCCGTTGCTACCGGCCGCAGCTACGTCGTGCGACCTTCGAGTCGAAAAAAGCCTTCTTCACGTTTTCTGTTTTCGTGCAACTCGCACGACATGAGTACTTAGCTCATTGTTTTCAATCTCGATCAACGATTGCCGTGTTTATGCCGGTTTGAAGTGAAAATTATGCGCTTTATCGATCGTGTTTTATTTTTGATATCAAAATGCCTTATCTTTTTTACTTGTTAAACGAAATAACAAAACAAACATCGATAGTAATGAGTTTCAAGCCTGCTGGCTATCTACGAGCTCATTTTCATTTTTAGCCATGATTCACGAGATTAAAATAAAACTATTTCTCAGTTACGTGAATCCCGTAAGAATAATTCAATATTATTTTTACTCGATCAGGCATCTTAACGATCGAGGCAATTAAATCGACGTACTATTATTATACGGTATTCATACAACTCAACAGGACAAAACTTATCCAAGGGTTGAATACCGAAACCTGCCTTGCAATCAACTACATTTCTATTTTCTGACGCAATAGCGCGGCTTTATGCGTGTACGTACAAGCTCAACGTAAGAAAAATACCAACACCTTAGTCATCTACAGTCGTCATGAATTTGACTTGTAATTTCCCCTATCTGTCTGTAAGTTACCTATTATATACAATCGTCATCGATAAATGATGCAAATTTTAGGTAGCAATCCATTCATACGTTAAACATTAAACATTTTTACAGCTCTACGTATAAAGATTAACTTCGATTTTTGATAAAGCAAACATGCAAAGAATGTTGATCGTATCGATATTTTAACTCCCATCAGTATAGACACGTTTTTCGAATTTCCGACACAACTTCCGTGTAAAAGACGAGCAAATTGTGACATACGTCATCGTTCGAATGTAAAAATATTTGCTCTCTTCAGGAAGACCCTCGCGTTGGCTCGATCTATTATTATTGTTACATGCCGAATGCTGATGAAACGATCTGCTTTTTGCGAACCCTTCTAACACGCAATTCAAGGTATATACGTGTCACTGTACACAAGCGGTAGCGGAAGCAGTTCTGAAAAGGTTTCATTTCAAGCTTGATCATCAGAAAACTTCAAAGTCTTTCTTATCGGATAGCGTTGTGAGGATTTGTAGTTTTTCAAAAAACTACAATTTATAAAATAGAACTGACAATTTTTTTTTTTTTAAATTGTATTTTTCGTGAAAAAATTTTGGTGCATTTAATCAATCTTTTTTTACACAATTGGCTATTTTACATACTTTTTTTCACTTTGAAAAATATTTTAAACAAGTCAAAAACTTGTGTTTAATATACTTCATTTTCAACTTTTTATATTCAACATAGTAAAACATTTAACTTTTTAATAGTGGAGCAAATTAACATTCTCTTTAGAGAATGTTTAGCACATTTTAGTTTGCACAAAATTTCTGCTTTTTAATAGGAGAAGTCTTTACTTTATTTTAAAATGGACATTCAATGTCCAATTTTTGTTTAATCATTCATCTAAGAATTCACCATAGAATATAAGTTTTTAATAACATACGTAGTTTGGTGCAGCAAACAATACTGGTCATTTTCATTCCCATAGTACATTATACATAACTTGATTATTATGTACATTATTGATAGTTTGAGATTGTAATCAAAATATAGAGAGCTTATTTCAATATCTTACAAAACATTTTAGAAAGTTGATTTGAAACAACAGCAGCAACAATAGTTCTATTGGTTACATCAATTTGTAACATTCAGAACCCTTGTCCAATACTTGAAGTACAACTAAATAGACCTATGTACAATAATTTACATTCATTTTTATATTTTTGTGACTATAAAAATTTCATTCATGTAAGATATTGGAAAAAACAAGCTTTCTTAACAAATTTTTTCAAGTGTCAGACTACATTTGTACTAATGTAAATAAGCAAACCTAAAATGAATGTAAAATGAGTAAATTATCTATCGTAAACCAAAGGGGGTTGACCTTGTTACATGACAATTCATTTACTCTTCACAACAAATCCCAAATCCCGAGGCAACATGTATTGTTTTATAACTTCACTAGTAATTTTGTTTTTTCTTTCTTGATGATCAGCAACCAGCTTTTGCAATATTTCAATTAATTCTTTTTTAAGTTCACCGGTTAATATTTCTCCACTAGTATAACCCTAAAAATTTATTTGAAAAAATATAAAATCAAAAAATGTTTTCAGTTAAAGAATTTAGTAGTATACTTTATCAAATGAAAAAAACTTACTTTTCTAATTTCCTCAAGTCTTTCATCATCTTCTAAGTAAAATCGTAACCATTGATACGATACATCAATTCCACAATTTCCCCCAAATTGTCTATGTTCTTCCACAGTTGCACGACCTCCAGAAAATGCATGCTTGTTTATTTTGTTTTTAATCTGCTTGGCAGTGTCAGTAAGAAAAATAGCAGTATTTGTATCACTTGCAGACATTTTAGTTTTGGATCCTTGCAGAGCAGGAAAGAAGGAAGAATGAATCAAAGCTGGCTTAGGGTGGTTTAATCTAGGTGCAACATCTCTAGTCATTCTAAAATAAGGATCTTGATCTATTGCACAAGGAATCAAACAAGGAACTTTCCAATTTTTGAAAATAAATGGAAATGTGCTACTTAAAGCTGGTGCAGCTTGAGTGGGAGGAAAACTGATTTTAGCAATTGGATCACTGTCACCAAAACCAAAAATACCCTTCACTTGATTAAATGTTACACATTTTTGAATCCTGATCATATTTTGATAATAAGCAGCGTTGTTTCCTATGTGTTCTAAATTTGAAAATATAAATGTTTTTTCCACTTTGAAACCACAGGCAATTATATCCTTTGCATTTTCATATGACAGTTTAATAGCATCTTCAATTTTTAAATTTTTCCATATGGCTTTTTCATCGTCAGAGAGTTGAATCACTAGAGGAACATCAAATACATCTTGTAACCATTTACAGAACATAAATGGAATAAGATGCCCTAAATGCATGGATTCTGAACTAGGCCCTCTTCCAGTGTACAAATAAAATGGTTTACCCTGTTCATACATATTGAGAATAGTATGCATGTCTCTGTGAGAGAAAAAAATTCCCCTCCGCAGAAAATGATGCGGTTTATGCCCTGTAATTTTTTCAAATCTGTTTAATAATTCATCATCGATTTTCGAGCAACCAAATCTCTCTGCAAGAAGATGAAAGAAGGGTTAGGATGTTTTACGCGTGGTCCATAGTAAAACGTTCGCATTCATGAATGACTTACGTATCAGTTTGTCATAATCGATGCCAGTTTCGCTATTACTTTCCACATTCCACGGGGTGACAACGTCGTTGTTGTCTTCAACACCTCCATTGGCCATTTCACTGGGTACTTTATCAACAACACTCATTTCGGCAATCTTTTCGGCGACTTTGCAGTCTCCCGGTGTACTCTGCAGCTGTTGATTTCGTTCTGCCATACTTGTACGGAGTCAAAGTACCGTTAAACACTGTCAATAGGCCGAGTGTAGTAATGTGCGTAAATACATATAAATTGCAAACGTAAATGAGTAAGTACTGGCTCACGCAATCGTTGTTGTTTCGCATAAGCTGCGTGCGCGTGAACTAAATTCACTTTGCTTCAGCTCGTTCAGACCACATATCATATATATAAACGCTTCACTCACACGCTGCTGTGAGCCTATATTCGTCTCGCACGGCAAAATGTGTATAAGATTATAGAGAGGTGAAATTTGCGGAATGTCCTATACACCTACACTAGCTTCATGTCCGAACCGGCGGTCTGCATACATTTCTCCGTTGCAGCTTGATTTTAATTACTAAACAACACTTATTCAGGGTTTGAGCATAATAAATCTTTTCATGATTATAAATCATGTAACAAACGTGAGTTAAAATATTACTATTACATTTGTTTTTTCAAATTAAAAATATGAACTATGACCTTTTTATTTCACCGAAACTGTAAGTTTTTCGTTTTATTCGCTACTATTAAAATTATTAACCAGTACTCATAAACATGATTTCATCATGATCATTTTTGCAAAAAATTTGAGTTTTTTTGAGGCAGCCAAAAAAAGTTAGAGCAGTAAAAGCTTTTCTATTCCCGTAACATTTAAGCGCCACCAACGGCAGGAATAACACTTACCTACAACTTTTTAACATCTGTTAATACCTGTATTCTAACAAAGATGTCAGATCAAGGAACTTGAAATTTAATAAGGTTCATTATATTAGTGACTTTTCCCAATGTTCAATGTTTGCAATATTTTTTTCTGAAAGTTTAAATAATTTCGAGAACAAAATCTCCAGCTCTTTTTTGCTCAAAAAAATTTGGAGACATAAATGGCATCGCAATTTTCGGGTCACTGGGTATGAAAAATCGTATACAATAATACATACCGAAACGAGAAAAAAGGCCTACGTTACATGCTTTGGAACTTTACTGTTAAGAAATTTAGTATATTACTGGATTAGGCCGAAAAAAGCCTGAGCCACTAATTATAGTGCTATCTTTTTCTAGATTTAGGCTTGAACAGTGATCCGGAAATAACTTTCTCTGCATTCGGCAGCGGGAAGAAAGTAGTCACTTTTAAGCCGCGATAGGACGATTACTTTTTGCTATTATCCTTTTTTTACCTTTTGATTTTCATATTTTTGATTGTTTTTCGATGCTCTCGAATATTTCGTGGTCTTTGGTTTAGAATGATAATTACAAAAATTTATATCTATTATAGTAGACATTGTAAGGGAACTCTAAGATTTTTGGCGATGAAAGTCTGCATCGAACGCGATTAGATATTCATATATTTTTTTCCATAATAATAAGCTCCCAAACAGCTCAGACCCGCTATTAAATAATTAAATCTATTAAATTTTTTAGTGAGATCGTCAAACAATAGAGAAGTTTAACCAACATGATATAAATATCGAAAATGTAATAATTGTTCACCGGATAAAGCTCTTTATTTTCATTGATTCATTTTATTATGTAATCATTCAATTTAATAATTCGTTTAACTGCTCTCGAGAGTCGCATAAAATCATTTATTTTGAATTATAAATCTGTTGGTTCTCGTTTTCATATTTTTTCATTGTTACATTTAAACTTAAATAAATATTGACCCGAATTGAAAGTAATATATTCGTCCCTGCGACCAATACGTAAATGACATTTTTAATTGAGAGTCCAAGAAAAGTAGTTTACGGGAGTAAAAAATAATGTTTCAGATCGCACATTTATGAATGTTGGTTTCGTCAAGGTTGAAAACTTACTTAGGGGTCTAAGACATTACTTTTTCATGTTTTTCGTCCTGTAATCTACCGATCATCAGATATGGTTATAGAAAAATTTCATATTTTTATTATTCATATTAAATAATTTCATTTAGGTTTACTTTTTTAATCAAGCTTAGTTAAACAGATAATAATTTTTTAATAAATAGTAATATGTTTATCATGAATAGGTGCATTTTTGTGCATTATATCAAATAAATATTCTATATCTTACAACTTTATGGTTGATAAAATCATACAATGTTTATATTTAAGGTTTGTTCCCAATTTTATTTATAACAGAATATAATTCTTTGAAATTATAATTTTTTTCTTCATCACAGTTTAATTTTTCATCTATCATCACACATTTGTACATTTTGATTCGAGAAAATATATGATTAGTATGTAATAGGTACTTTTAGCCGCTCGTTCCGAAGTATAGTTACTTATAGATGCGAAGATATAGTTTCAATCTAATGTAATAAATAAATATTTAAAAAAATTTTAACTGCTTATCTTAAAACTCTGAGTTTTAATATTTTTAAAAATTTCATAAATTGCATTTTGTATCTGAAAAATGAGTTCTTTCTAATTGTTGACCAGCAAGCATTTAAGAATTATTTTTGCCTTACAGATAAATTTTCTGTTTTAATGATCAACAGTTTAATTCTATTTTTAAATAATAACCTAATAGTATAATTGTTACAAAAATAATGATAAGCCTCACAATAATTATGATAGGTTCCAATTTTAATTTTTTAAAAAAATACACGAACATGTTTCTCCCACATCAAGTAAAAAAACATTATTCTACTATTTAGTTAACAGTTTTAAATTGATAGGTGAATGCGTCATACGTTAGCATAATTCATTATTTTGAAAGTGGTAAAACAGTATGTCACGTTTTTCTTGTAGGTAACTTGTGGAATATATCGTTATATGATGTGCTCATAGTGAGCAACTTATATTACAAAAATAAGGCATAATTATACATTTTCATAGGGTAATGAAGAATAATTTACTTTAATGGGATCTTGGAGAGTACTTTTTAGGTACTATTCTGAAAACCTTAAACATGCTCAAGTCCAACCACCCTTTAGTCTTTATTTCATAAAATATTATTTCAAAATAAGGTACTTTGTTTAGTGATTGACCGTTTTCAATCAGTGAATGACCAGTTTTGGATATGCAATAAATATACTATGTCCGTGTGTTAATGAGGTAGATGCACCGGTATTTAAAAACTTGAATAAAACCCATGCAAATTTATTTTTATTTGTTTTTAAGGAATCGTATGGTTTTGTGAGATGGAAATTAATTTTTTTTTGTTTTTTGAAAGATGATACTTCAAAACTAAAAGTCTAAAAACCCAATATATATGTATCTTTGCTTAATATGGACAAAAACAAATCATTCAAACTCGAGCCAAATTATCCAATTTCAATTTCTTTTCTTCGTTTAAGGAGGTTCCCTTGCAAAGTTCGCAAGAAGTACATACATCAATATTGATAGATTTTGACCTCCCGAATCCAATGATATAACTCTCATATGCCCAAGCCAGGCAAAATCTCGAGAAAAACGCGATCAAAAATTAACATGGGCAACATAGGAATTTATGAAAATTTGAGCTACATTTACAATTTATGAAAAGAAATCAATCAAATCAAAGTTCGCAGAGGAATGATTATATACAAATTGTAGAGAAAGTTCTTATCTTTCAAAAACCGTGTCTCAAAGTAGAGGTAGCCTGCCGTTTTTTAACTTAACCCATGTTGCTGCGCGAACTCTCAATTGACTAGCGTGTTACCCGAGGGAACCTCCTTAAACACTAGTCAAGAGTATAAACTTTGAAAAATATATCGAATGTTTGATCTCCGATGACCGTGTCAAGAAATATCCTGCGCAAGATAACAGAAAGACCAAGGAAAATTGTTAGAAAATCGAAAATTTTCAATATTTTTATTTGAATTTTTTTCACATCTTTAACAGTTGAACTTCATTGTACGCAAATTTCAAATTGATTGAACTCTTGTTTTTTGAAATACATTTTTTTTTAAAAAATAATATTCGTCTCACAAAGCTATGCAATCCCTTAATAACGTATTTTCCAAGACGGCCATTCAATGTGTGCTGGTCAATTAGAGGGACGTCTACCTTGCGTTAGAAATACCTTATCCAATTTTTTAAATTAATTATATAAGAAATACATTTTTGAGATATACTCTTTGGAATTTTTATAATTTTACAATCTTCTTTGATTCGTTCATTTGTTTGATATGAATGATATTCATAATGCATTATTATATTGTGCATAAATTATAAGTATCTTTAACCATGAATTTTAATTTTCAAATTTCATAAATTTAATGTAATAAATCGGTCGTACAAAAAAAATTTAATTATACTCCTACAGTATGAGATTTTATGCCCTTTAATAAAATCACGTGCATCTGTCATTACAATTAGAAAGATATACAATCACATTATTTTCACAGTTATGGAAGCGAGTGAAAATACATAAATTTACATTGTAAAAAAGTATTCTTATAATATATTACCATAGATCTGATAAAATCGCATTCCTGACATGGAAGATGAATACTAGTAGGCTACCTGCAACTTCTCAAGTAAATGGAAACTCGCTTCCGTTTTAAAGTTTGTCTAAAACTAAAAACAAATAAACTCGTGATACAACTCTTTCATATAGTTATTTCACTGTTACTGTAGTCATAAATGTGGGTTTTTTTATTTTTAGTTCAAAAAAAATTTTAAACATTTGAGAGCAAGTTTCCATGCAACTTGGGCAATTGCGAACAGTCTAATGAATACTATTTACACATTATAATACATATCGTACCAGATGTACAAGTGCCATAAATTTGTGGGCACTGATTGAAAAAGAAGCTAATTACCAAGAATTTGCTTGAGTTGACCGAAAAATTTGGATCTTTCTTGACGCTACTTGATAGTAATTATCAAAAAGACTACGTATTGATACTCGATATTTGAGGTATTGACAGTTAGAGTTACGACAGCGCACAGCAGAAAACATCTGCGCATTGGTTACCATTCATTTTTCTTTAAATATGAAATCGGAGGTAAGAACAAAATCAAGTTTATATTTGCTTGGTAACATACTCAATTTTTCAACCAGTGCACGAAACGCGCGTAATTGATCATAAAGCTTCGGAGCGAACAAGTCATCGATCAATGGAGGTTGTTTTTTTTCTCAAGCAGCCCAGCTCAAACTCGAACTCCCAAGCCCGTGGCTTCGGCTTTGATGTCAGCGACGACGGTCATGTCGAAGGTAGGCGTACACACTTCGCTCGGAGTGGGACTGGCCAATGGAGCGAGCCTCAAATCCTTGCGCTGTGCCAACACGACGGGCCGTACCATTGGCCTGCCATGACCAACACTCGGCTCGAGGCGCAAAAACGCGCCACGCAAACGTTCGCTTTTATCGCTCTCGTGGAACATCGTCTCCGTAGATTTGCTCTGCTGTATCAAATCGTATTGGCGAAGTTGCTGCTGCTTAATGGCAAGAAGATTCGACAGAGAGCAGCGCATCGTTCCGATTGCACCGGCTATCGCCGACTGTCCTCTCGCAGGGGCAGGCAAAGCCTCCGGCGTGGGCGTTGGATCGTCCGTTTCGAACGACGTGAACAAGTCCTCGGAATCGTCGGGCACCGACGGTGCACTGAAGAAAGACTCGCGCAGCGACGAGCTCAACGCCTCCGAGCATATGAAAGGCTCGACCAGACAAGAACAGCTAGTGAGGTCGTTGAGATCGCTGCCGCTCTCGTTGGCCATTTTGGCGCAACTTTGAAAATTATTCACGGAATAGGACGACGGAAAATGTTGACGCTCGCTCGATTGAGCATTGCTGCTCGACAGTATCTCTTGACTGCGCGACGATTCCGACCATCTGGAGTCCGAAGGTCGCCGAGAACCGAAGCGGGTACTGCAGTCGTGCTCCGGAAATATCGTGTCGAAACGCCGCTCCTCGTCGTATCGCTCGAGCAAAAGCTCCGACAGCTCGTCCGGGTCTAATTTTCTCGTTGCTTCGTCGCTGCTGCAGTCTTCGACGTTCAACAAGACCGACGGCATTATGACGGGATCCGAATGTCTAATTTGGTTATTCGAATCTGGTTTAAGAGGTTGCTGACTGTGAACGAGTGTTTGAGGCAGTTGCTCCTCTTTAAGAGAATCCAGTGGAATTGGCTCGATAGGACTGGGTGGTTCCGAGTGAATCGTTGGCACTTTCAAAGAGTCAAACTTGTAAGGTTGGAGTAATTTGGCCGGTCCGACGTTCTCTGCAGTTTGCGTCCTAAAGTCCAAGCTCTTTGCGTTGGATTGGATTTTGGTGCGGTAAGCAAAGTTTCGCGGGAGAGCTTTACTCCGCGAGCAAGCGTCGCTCATCGGCAACGAAGCGTAACTCGTATTCTTGAATTTCAAATCCAAACTGGAATCGGGAGAGCTTACGGGCTGAGGCGATCCTCGCGCACGACTGAATCGTTTTCGTGCTCGCGACCATGTGAACGACCTGCGCGACTGGCGCTGCTCGGCGGTACTCGACCACCAACTGTTCGGCTTTTTCAAGACAACGTGCTCGAGAGTTTGTCTCAATGCAAAGTCCGAGCTGCTGCTCTGCTCGGTATCTTTTAGGTTCGAATCCGAAACGGACGAGAGATTCGAAGCTTTCCTTCTATTCGTGCGACTCGAGGCTCGGCTCGCCGGAAAATTGAAGCAAGCCTCGATGGCGGCATCCTCGTAACTGAGCATCGGCTCGGAAACGGCGCTCGATCGCAAAGATTTTTTCCTCTCGTAGCTTTTGTCTTCGTTTCTGTCGTATTTGAGATTTTGATACGACACGAAACCAGACTCGCGAAAACAGGTTATACTCTTGGCATTAAAAGGCTTGTGATTGAGCTTGCGCAAATGTCGAATCTTGTTAAAAGTCGGATCGAGCAGATACTTGAGGCTCTTGATCTTGTCTATATTGTGATTGGAGTCTATGATATGTTGATTGCGATCGATCACATACTTTGGCTCGAGCATTTTCGCGAGATCGTGTATATCCTTTTCGACGATGTCTCGCTGTTGGTGGCAACATTCGAGGCCGCTCTCGTCCGAGGACGTTGAATCGCCGTTGCGTCGACTTTCCGGAGATATATCGTTGACGATTACGGCATTCGGATATCGATCGGTCGTTGCTGGCTGCGTCAGCGCATACAAAAGATTGTGATGGTGTTGTTGTTTGGCCGCAGCGAAACAATCCTCGATCGGTGGCCGCCGCTCGTCTTGACTGTTGGCTACCTCGGCGAGCTCCAAATGCGTGTTGGAGCCGCGACGAGCGGGTGAACAGCCGTAGCGACTCGGCATTAAGCCGAACATCGAGACGAGATCTTCGGCGATTTTTCCAGCGGCTATTCGCATTTCACCGTGATGAAAAGCGTAGAGCCACGGATTTGTGCCGCTGTGAGCGAGGATTGGCAAACTTAGCCATACGATGCTACTCGACAGTATGTTGGTTCCGCAGAAAATGTCCAGTAACATACAAGTCTGTAAAAATAAGTTTATTTGATAATACATTCTACAACTGTAACAATTTTGCACTTAACTATAGATTTTCTTGAGTTACACATTGCTTATAGCTTGATCGTAAAAAGTACGAATGGTTTTTTTTAATGTTCATTAATGGTATAAAGTGAGTTGGTATGGTATCAATGAATCAACAAAAAAAATTTCAAGTTATCTCATTATTTGAAATTTACTAAAACAACAGTTTCCTAGTATTTTGTCACAAAAATTAGATAGCTAAGCTTTTACTTTGATGTTTTAATTTTATTAATTTTTTTTTAGTTTATCCTTGTTTAAATTTTTATTATTACTAACTGCGAATGAATATTTGTCAAAATTTCTTTAATATTTTGAAAATAAAGATTGAGAAAATATTTGTTGACAGAAGCTAATGTGTTTTGTACCAGGGTGAATGTATTGCTGAACGAATATTTGATCGCAAATTTTGCAGAGGTTTTACAGATTGTAGCTAGAGTCTCAAACTATAGATAAATTACACATCATACATTTTTCTGTGACGGAAAACAATATGATAAGATGAAGTAAGTCTAATTTTTTTAAATTTTAATTATGGCTGCAAAGCGTAATTTTAAATTTTTGAACGTTGAAAGAAAAACGCCTCCAAAAAATGTTTACAATATCTCCCCCTTTTTCAGAGTCACATTTAGAATTATAATTTTGTTCGGAGTTCATTTTAAATAATTACAGATACACGCGCACTTTGTGCATCGGTCGTTACCTGAAAAGGTAGCCAAAAGACGAAGAAGGCGCCTACAGTGACCGCTAGCGTTTGTCCGTAACGAGGAAATGCCAGGGTCTGCGTTTGATTCCTGAAGGAAAGTTCGACCGTGTATATGGCTCGGGCATGGGCACGCGCCACAAGGTACACGTACATGTAGCAGCCGAGAAGTATAAGTGCACTCGGAGCCCAGACGGCCAAAAAAAGGAAAACTCGTACAGGTGGTAGTATGACGCCGTTGAATCGACAGTTGCTACTGTAAAACAAAATAAATAATCGATATGAACTATTTTTGGCACTATATCTGAATCTAAATATCTAAATATTCACTAAGTGAATATTTTATTTTTGATTTTTTAGGGTATTTTTGAATGAGCGCATAATATATACGTACCTGTAGGCAGCGCTGTTTTCAGAAAATTCCACATAAACGATCGGTGAGCCACCAACAGCCATCGCGTATATCCAGAACACTGCGATGTACCTCTCGATGCTGCTGTGAGTAATGATGTTTTTATAGCGGAGAGGTTGGGCCAATGATGTCAATCGGTCGATCGCAATTGCAACTGTCATCAGGACACTGACACTGCACAGAGCAACTGGAATGCAGTAATAGATGACGCACAGGCTCGAACGAGATGGCAGTGAGGGTGATGTCGGTTCTACAGTTGAAGTCAAATTTGATAGTTCGAGGTACGCTCCAAATGGCATGAACAAGCCAACCTGTTGATCCAATTGATAATTATTTAATTGTTCATTCCCCACCGTCTAATGGTTTTGATGTAATTGCTAAACTTATGACGGATTTAATAAATCAAAAACTTGTCCAAGATTTACAATGATGCTGTCTGTGAGTAAAACGACAAATACATGTGTATGAGTGAAAAAATCGGATGCCGATCGACGGTATTACAGCAGTCTAACATTTTTAGATTTCTTTAAATAGATCTAACTAAAATTATGGAAATTATTAAAATTCAGTAAAATTCAATTGAAATAGGGTCAACTAAATTAGAAAACTTGCGTTTAGCAAATAGAAGTTTAATGTTGAATTTTTATTGAAATTGATCATATCATTATTTACTCACAAGAAGTGAGATCGTAAATGAAAAAATTAGCTAATTTAAAAGTAAGAGACTTTGCTTTTTCTAGCTTAATAAAAGTAGAGTTTTATTCTAACCCGCGATTAAGTGCGGCTTTAGTATATGTATGAAGAATTTTAGTTGCTTGTGGTACTCTCTTCATTATTTTTTTACCAAGTACAAACTGTATCTATGTACGCAAGCAGGCGTCGAGTAAATGTGTATAAGTGGAAAAGTCCCGCGGGAGTGAAAAGTTTTGGTTACATATTATTCGTGTGTGTACGTAGGATGAAATGTGGCATACCTATCGCAAGGCTGACTACAAAAAATAGCAATACAATTTAATGGTCTAACGACGAGTTTATCTCCGAAAATTAATAAAAAATTGAAATTTAAACTCAGAAGGTGAAACTTAGACACTGTTGTCAAAATTTAGTTATTGCTCGTACCCCAAAGTCGCTAACCGCGAGAGACATTAAAAGGCAGTTGGAAGCCGTCCTCAGGCGTTTGTATCGATAAAACGCCGCCAAAATTATAGAATTACAGGCCAGTGTGTTCAATGACAGAACGAACACCAAGAAAATGGCAATAATGATCGAAACCAATCCTGGTTGGATGACCTCCTCTGCTGCTGATGTGTCAGGGTGCGTCCCCACCCCGATATCCGATATTATTTTGCTGATAGTGTCGGAATTCGTGTCGTTTCCAATATTCTTGCCTTCGCTATTACTAATACTGCTGAAAGTTGGACCAGCCAAATTCAAAAGTGACGACATCCTTCCATCACCGTAATTATGGCCAACTTTGATAGATCTGTCAAGTTTAACGATTTGAGAAATGATCAAATACGACCAACTCCAAAATTATTTGAACTTTTTTTATACTTACTATGTTTTTGGAAATTTTTACATTTAATCGAATTCCGTTGTTTGAGCCGAATTGAATCAATTAATTTATTGCAACTAGGTGTTAGTTGACTGCTCATTGAAAGATTAAAATTTGCCAATTCATAGCGTGTAGCCTTGAATGGGAGGCAATAATGTAATGAGAGTTTATTCTGGCCTATAAAAAAGAGAAAAATTAAACTATGTACAATGGTTGAATGATACACTCTAAACCCAAAAGAGTAATTTTCGAACCTCAAAAGAGTAAACTGCGTCATTTACTCTTTTTAAAAGAGGTTCGAAAATTACTCTTTTGGGTTCACTCTCGGGCTGCTGGTATGAGTAAATTTTTTATGCAATTAATAATTTGCAAAAACGCACCAATATAAGTAATTTGAAAATAACCGAATTGAGGTGAGAAAAATTTATTGTTTATGTTTGTATTGAGAATAAAAATTTCTTTCTTGGTACTTAAATTATAATTATTAAATACTCGAATAAAATAAAAATATTAAAATAATTAGAATTATTTACGAGATTTAAAAGTTTTTTAAATTTACAGTGATTTATAAGTAAATTAGTATACACAATATGCTTTACTCACAAGTTTGAGGTGCACATGAGCCTTACTGTGCATCTTCAAAGTCAATCCAAATTGTACACCTTTACTCTTTATCAATATGTGAAAATAAGTTAACACGCAAAATAAATCCAATCAACTCTTAAAAGTATAGTTTCATTGCGAATGTCTTGAATGATTCTTGAATTGTTTCAATCATTATATGAGTCATGCTCCAGGCAATAAATAATGTAGCCATGGTTTGCGCCCAGTGAGAAGATATAGCAATATTAAATTGGCACCTGAAAAAAATTAAAACTGTTATTTCTGCGCACTTTGAGTTTTTGATTTTCAGAAAAATTCAGAAATTTGTAAAATTAAAAGAATAGAATTTTTATTCTAGATGTGTAATATCCCGATAATGATCGGAAATCAAGTTTAAGAATGAAAAGAAACCCTATCTTAGGTGAAAAATAAAATCCTTATATTCTGTTTTCCGGACCATATCGGCATCAAGAGTAATCAGATCGTAGACAAACTGACTCATTCTAGAGAAGGGAAATAATATCGCTTATGCATGAAAGCGATTATTGATTACACCCTTAACATCTAAAATAAAAAATGCAGCATCTCATATAAGAGGTACACTATAGTAACATTTAAGTTTTTAAAAGAAATACGATTGGCCAATTCAGGGACGTTTATAACCAATTTGGTTATGCTAAAAATGAAACATGGAATTTGAGCTAATATTGGAATAGTATATTACTGCCCTAGGCCGCGAAAAACAGAAAAGTCCCAGAGTACGTGTAATTAGTGGCCGAGGCGAAGCCGAGGCTGATAAACACGTGCTCTGGGGCTTTCTTTTTTCGCGGCATAGGCCTGTATACTATTTTTCATACACAGTGGCTCGAAAATCGCTCTTCCCGCTTTGCGCAGCGGCAGGGAAGTAGTCACTTTCGGGCCGGTGGTATGAAAAAGAGTTTTAAAGCGATGACATTTATATGGGTACTCTTGTATAGCAAGTACTGTTCAGGCAACTTCGCAGTTGAGCAGCAACTTGAGCACCGTCGTCACTAGCCGTAATCGCTGAGATTCCTAAACGCTTGCGAGTGGATGAGGCGTATGTCTGCATGAATAAACTAATTGAGCTGAATGTGTGTACAATTGCAGCTGCACTGGGGCTAATTTTGAAAGCTGTATCCATGCACTCCTGTGTGGTATGTTCATTCAACGTGCTCAATTGCGATAAAAAGATATATGAAGAAATTAAGGATACTTCCAAATGGTACAAAACTTCTCCGTAATTTCGTAAAAATTTGAAAAATTTCATTTTACTAGCTTCAAATAAAGCATTAAGATGTTGAATAAAATAATAACAAAGGAATACAAATCATCCAAAAATGTAGGGAATATGAAAAAAAAAAAAAAATTATAATAAAAGGAACTTATTGGTTTCCAAATTTTAATTCCCCCATTAACGCTCCAAAGTGCAATTTTGTGCATGAATTTTCCATTGTAAAAAAATTATAAATAAAGTTAAAATATTTTCTTGAAAATCCATAACCTATCTAGCTCCTATATTTCTAAAATGGTGAATTCATACCGAGCAGCGATATACAAATTTCCTTATTTTTTACTCGGATATTATTAACTTTAAAAAAAAGTCATAGAGTAAAAAGTGTTCAAATTTGTTCAAAGAATACATGTGAATTTTTTCAGAATTTTTTTGGAACATTTTGGATTTTTCGACGGGCGGGGAATTGGTCGTATTTTGCAAAATTTTCCAAGTGGTCTGAAAAATTTTGAAAAAATTCACACGTATTCTCTGAACGATTTCAAATACATTTTTACACTCCAAATCGTACTTTTTAGTTCATATTTAGCGCATGTGAAATAGTTTCCGAGTAAAAAATGAGGGAATTTTTATGTCACGGCTCAGTATAAATTATAGCCGTTTTAGAAATATAGCGGTTAGATAAAAATCGCGGCAGCGCGTTTTTTGAAGGTTCAGAGAAAAAGTGCACGATTGCTGGTATTGTGGGAACCCTCCGATGTTAGGCACGGTAGAAAATCGACTTTGAAAAAAAATTTTAAGTAAAAAATCACGTTTTTTTTTAATTGCGAAATAAACAATGATAATGTTTATCTATCGTAAAAATAACACCCGATTCTGAAAGAGCATACCCAAAAACTCCCGGATATGGATATTCTAGAAAAGATTCTAACTTTGTCTATTATTTTTCATAATGGAAAAATCATGCACAAAATTGCACTTTTGCACAGTAACGGGGTAATGAAGAAAATAAGAAATCAATACACTCAATTCAATGTATGGCCGATCAATTTCATGACAATTGGAAACGATCGAAAGTGTAACATGCGTTCGTCGGTGTGAGAGGTGTTAGTATTATACATAAACAAGCGCAAGCATCCTAACGTGGAAGGGCAGCATTTGAAAACGTACAAAGCGAGCGGGTGAGCTTCTAGCTCGAGTGCAAAGAGAGATAACCGGAATTCGAACAAATTGGAAATCGTCTATAGATATATGTATGGACTTTGCTCGCTCCTGCAACTGATTTGAAGAAAATTAAAACGAGTAGTGTCCACCAAAGCGACTGAGTGCCAAAAAGTCCTTATCGCGATCCAGCGCGACAAAGTTAATTACACTGGAGAAAAAAGGAAGATGATTGTCCGGTGTCGATCTATACTTTTGTTTCTCTCTTTCTCTCTCTCTCTCTCTATTTTACCGCTTTTAATTTAAATTTTGAACTGTAGTAAGCGAATGTATAGACCTCTATCATTTGTCAGAAATTAAAACTATTTCGACTACCCACATCTCAGTAGTTGCGTATTTTGTATACTTGGAGAGCATTTTTGAGAAAAAGCCTACCACTTGGTGCATTCGTGATCTTGATCTCTTCCACATTTGTTTTTTTAAAGAAAAACAAATTTTATTCGTGGCATTCTTCAACGCCAGTCACACAGAAAAACTTTTTGGTAAACTATTATCTTAACTACAAATCGATGCTGTTGAGGAAAACTAGCACGTTTACATTTAAAAATGTATAGAAACGTGCTACTCTTCCTTGACAGCGTTGAAACAATTACAACATTTTGATCATAGAAAGTTCCACAAATTTTGTACTAGTAGTTAATCCAGAATTTGATTGAACAACAACTTAATGTCAAAAAAACTGTTTTTTTCGTTTTTTCTCTTTTGAATAGAGATATATACCCTTAAATATTTTTGAATTCAATGGGAAAGTTGTAGTGATTTATTTCATTTTTGACTTGAGCCTTCCAATTTTGGAGAAAGTTTGTCAATTTTCTTTAAAAAGCATAAGCAAAAACTGAATTTTGTCAGATAAATAATTTCAAAGATTCAGCACTTGAAAATTTTTTACCGTAATTTTTTATTATAGTCTCATATAACAAGATTTAGTTGGTATTTTACTCTTGAAAAAAACGAAAAAATAGTTGCTTAGCATGCATTTGTAATGTAAACAAATTCAGGACTAACTACAAAGTTTACAAGTCCACCACTTTAAAGTACTTCTTAGAATATACTAAAACCTGCGTAGTAAGATTTTGAATAGCACTTACGACAGATAATCAAAAAAATTTGAGCTCAAATGACTGGGCTGTTGCTCACACGTTAAAAAAGAAAGATAGTAGCAGATGGCGATGAAAATCTTTGCTTATAGCATTACATGTTTCGCGCTATTTGCGTTGTAAGTTGACATAGCCGTCATTCTTGTCATAGAAAAGTGGGACTATAAATATGAAAGTACGGGGAAGAGGAGAGAGGAATAAAATGGATAGGTGTTACTATAGGTCCCAACATCAAACTGAATATTTGCTAAAAGAGCAGAAGCCAGCAAGTTTAATAGAGTAAAAGTTTTTAATAATTTTTTGCCGATTTAAAATACTGTCTTTAATTCCATCTTTAATGTTTATTTCTTAGTATAACTTACTACTTTTCCTGATCAGGTAAGTAATTTCAATTGCTTTTCACAGTGAGATTTTTGGATAATATATGAATAAAAGAAAGAATAAGATCAATATGAAATCGATAATTCCATGAAAAAATAATTTTTATTGACATTATAAAAAATTTATGATACATAATGTGATGGTATAAAATACATAATTCCTATAATACTTAATTTACTTATACAATTATCACAACATTCATCACAAAACCATCGCAAAAGCTATTTTTTATTCAAATAAATTAAATAATTTGTAAGTCGTCAAAATCAAGATGGATATTATAAAAAATTTATGATACATAATGTGATGGTATAAAATACATAATTCCTATAATACTTAATTTACTTATACAATTATCACAACATTCATCACAAAACCATCGCAAAAGCTACTTTTTATTAAAATAAATTCGTCAAAAATAAAGTCGTCAAAATCAAGATGGATATACTGATATTTCTATGTGCTTTCCGAAAATTCCAATGAAGATATTTACTTCGATTTATAACAAAATTCATTAAAATTCAAAAAAAGTGTTGTACAACTGATCAATAAAGCTTGTTTTTGGTAATTTTTTCAGAAGTTTATGTTTGCACTAGTTTTTCGTTGACATATTCGATTGAACTTTTATAACAATGACTAACTGCATTATTAAAGCAATGTTTTTACAAAGATAAAATTTAATATTTACAATGAGCGTTGAGCCTCGATCTTCTGCGATTATGAAAAAAGAATAACAAACAGATTTAGTTCAAATAGTCTATTATCATATCGCGGACTAAAATTGGAAGCTGTGAAAATTGTGGTGACATTTGGCTCATCTGATAAATAAAGTACTCTTTTCTGAAAGTCCTTTTTATAACTTTAGCTAAATGCCCTTTTATGTATCCACCGATGCATGGGAATTGTTCAGCAAACTTCGATGGATCTGAAGACTCCAACCAATTTTCTACATCAATCCTGAAAATATTGTACGTATCTATATCGTCCGAGCGACTTTTACAAAAATCGAGTAGAGAATCGTTTTTCGAGACCATTATTTTTTCAGCGAGTTGTAACTCATTATCAATTTTCTGAGTGATATGGTCCTGGATGGATTTGGCAATTTCATCTGTCATTCCCAATCTCACGAATATTTGAACGAGTATTGTTTTAATGTCTTCTAGTGGGTTTGCAAAATCAAATAGTCTTTTTTCGGCAAGAACCATGTAGTGAAGCATCGTATTGATCATATCGACAAGCCAATCGTAGGATTCGATGAAAATTTTTGGTTTAACCGCAGCATTAAAATACTTCACAAGGTTTTTTG